TGTCTAGCAAATACCAATTACATATGGTTGTTTATTCATTGCTGTCTGCTAGTGTCCGAAAAAGAAAAAACCCTATAATCAAGCATCCAAATATTGGTATATGACCTAAGCATTACTCCGTCCTAACGCAAATACCACATCTAGTGCTCCATCATATAAATGCCTCACCTGCATACAAAACAAAGGAAAAGAACAACATTAAAAAATTATTATTGAACTTCAATATTAATTTACGTATTTAAAGAAACACTATCGCATAAAAATATTACATTGTAATACTGTTTTCTCCCTTTGCGAATAGAAAAAAAAAATCCTAGGTAAATCAACATTTATAAATTGAGTATATTAATCAGGGACCAAAATTAGCATTATTGTCTAGAAAAATAAGAGATCATAATTGAGCAATAGTTCCCTTACCGTTCTTATAAGGAACATTTTCTCCTTAATTTCGTCCGGCATAATTATTCTCAGAATCCAATTAATGACATCATTTTCAACTCCAAATCCATCCAATTCCTCATGTGAAATCCAAGACTTTCTCCCTAATTCATCAATTCATAATGGTGGGATCAAAATTACACACATCGCGTCTCTGGCAGAAAGAACACCAAGAAACTAAGACCCCTTCAAACGCACAGTCGGCAACTGCATAAATGATTTCAACAATTCATTGAAACTAAACACTTGAACGCAGAAGATTGCAAATAAGATACATCCAGAAAAGTACTAATGCCGGCGCCAAAAACTAAAAAGAACTAAACAAAACAAAAGACCCATAATCCAAAGTAGCCATCAACAAAACAACAATAGAACCCACAAACTTGAGTTGAAGAAAAATTCAGAACAGAGAGAAGATCATAAATTTAGTTGAATACAAATCAGCTTCTGTGAGAAATCTAGGAGAAAGATGGAAATTAAGGAAAAAAGCTGATTTTCATCAAAACATAACAGCTTCAAAGCCACCAATATCACCCCTTTGATAAAGGCAAATGAGTTTTTCTGGTCATTGGTAATATACATACTCTCTCATCCATATTGAAAATTACTTACAGTGCGGACAACCATACGCGTAAAAGGAAACCGAAATTGAATAGATCTTACAACAAACCAACTTAAAAGAAACGAAGATGACAAGAATTGCTATTACAAAGTTGATGTTCAATCTACAATTTTTTACAGCTTGACAGCAAGGAAATAAATATTAGTCCCAAAATCTATAATAAAAGAGTGAATTTTCTCACCAGAGACATTCAGTTGTTAAAAGCCATTCAATTGCTCCTAAATTCAACCATATCCATTAAGTTGTCGAATTCTCCTTTGCTACTAATGCTGCTTCGTTCACTCGTTATCATTTGTACACCACGTGCTTTTCCACGTGCCCGTTCTCTTGGTATGCCGTTAGGAAAGCTGATGATCACGGCGTTGAGGATCTGAATGTTGAATTCCTTTGCTGAATGATTGCTCCTCATATCTTCAACGTCCGTCAGCGTATCTACAGCATATCCTCCAATTTTCGCACCGGAGATCAGTAAACAGTCAAGCTCACCATCCAATTCTTATTTTGTCCGGAGGTCGACAAACTTTCGGATATTTTCAAAATCCTAGGTCCCAATTACAATGAGAAAGTGCTCCACGGCATCGGTTTGGTAGTTCTAACCACCACGGTGGGACAGTTCAACACCGACCAGTTATTGACTGACGCACTCACCGATCTTATTCGTGAAAAGAAAATCACTGAAGCAAAAGAAGAGGAAGAAAACTTTTTCCTTTTTGATAGAGTAATTTGATATAAGTTGTTGAAATCCTAAAATTTGATCATATTTTCAATAATAAATTACATTTAATAATATTTCGATACAAACTTATTTTACACTTATCTTAACCAATTATGTTAATGTTTTAAAATTTAAGTTTGTTTCAAGTATCTTTTCAAACAAAAATATCTTGAAAAGAACCCTAACCCTCTTTCTCTCCCTCTTCCTTCGGCGCAATCTCCTTCTTCTTTGCCCCCACTGCCACCGACTTTCTGGCTTGAAAGCCTACTAAACTTCTTAACCTCTTTTTCATCATATTCTTTCGTATATTGAAGATAATGTGATTAGCATCACATTCAATTTTGTTCTTTGTTAAGAAAGTATCTTCGATTAAATGTTGGTTTATCTAATCCTTCAATAAGAGAAAATCGCGAGTTCTGATCTCCTCCAATTTCAAATTGATATTTTTAAATAATACATAATCCGATCCTATGATTCCGTAAAATCAATAACGCAAAAAATGGAAACATAATATCCATTTTCTTAGCCCCGATTTCACCGTCGACAGATTCATCTTTTGGAAATTCCTTTTCACGGTATCGTTCATGATTCGAGGAGCGGAGCATCGCGAATTAATTCGCAAGCGGCCTAAATGAAAAGATTTTCGGGGTAATGTCAGCGGAGCGGGAGACCAAATTTGATTGATAGAGTGCACCAAGAAAAAAGATTCATTGCCTATCTCTGACGATGAAACATGAAAATATATTCAGGGAAGGATCATGAAATTAAATTCGTGGAGGGAGTCCGAGTTTACAACTGAAAGCGTCGGACATGAAAATATTTTCTGGGCAATACCATCGGGGCGGGCTAAAGAATTGATAGTTATAACAAAATTCATTTTATTATAATCTTTTATGCCTAATTTGGTTATATTTTGAAGATTACTAATGGACTTTATTATTATTTTGTGACAATGTAGTGAAACAATGAAAGATGGACTGTTTTGAGGTTTACTTGCTGCTTTATGGAGTTAAAAGATGAAAAGATTTTACTACAAGGAGATTAGTTAAAGCTCTTACTTGAAGATTTTCTTTATCAAGTCAAAGAAATCCATTTCTTGATTTTCTCCATCCGTTTGACCGACCTGATTTGGTGAAAGATTTGCAGCAACAACTAAATCCATTTGGATATATTGGAAGTGATTTGAGATAGGTTGTTGTACCTTTTTTTTTTTGGATTTTTCGGTTAGGAAAACACCACTATAAATAGAGTAGTAGTGGTAGGCTTCAAAAAACCCCACACCTGTAGCAAGCATTAGGCTGCTACCACTTTTCTCCATTTTTGCCACCATTTTTTTTTGTTTTATTTTATTTTAAACCTTCAAAGATGTTTCTAGTCACAATGAGTGGCTAGTTTTCTTCATTTGGTTCAAGAATTTTTATTCTTTTATATTATATGTGAGACTACAAGTTTCACTTTATTCTTTTCTACTTTTTTACTTTAAGTATTTGTTGATCTTGATTTCTTTTTATGAGAGTAAATACTTGATTAATCTGACAGTTTAATCAAGTATTTTCTTCCTACTGCTACCAAATTGTTTATGTTGCGCTATCGTCTTAAACATTTGGCACTAAGTAGCACACTAGCAGATTATGCATGTTGGTAGTGACACGTTGAATGTGCATAATAAGTCTAACTAGGAGATCAATAGGATAAAAACATTTTAATTGCAGCTATCTCAATTATTTTAGTTTTTGGTTCAACTAAAAATTTTCAAAATTTTTATTGCTAGTATAATTTAACATGGAACGCTATCGTGTCCTGTTAAATTATACTAAGTTTTGATTAGGTGCTGGGCTTGGTCAAATATTTTTAGAAAATATAAGACTTTTTACGGCTATCCTATTAAGCCTACGGTTGAATGCTTAAGTTGTAAAAAAATGTATTTTTAGTCAATGATCTATAATATATTTTAATCATTCCTTGAACCAAAGTTTTTCTATTATTAATTTTCTCTCCATTTTTATTTACTTCAAATTGTCATTTTATTTTAAAGAAGAAAAATCCCCCCTGTTTGCATTTTTGTAAAGCCAAGTGTTAAAAGTCGGCTCTCTTGGGATTCGACCTGATTCCACTGTTTCCGCAAATTAATTTTGGTCTGTTAGGAAATCAGATTAATTTTTGCGGGTCTCGACAAACCCGTCAAGAATTCACGCCGGATTGATAACGTCGCTCAAATAGACGAAATTCATCGCCTATTTTGTTTGGGGAAATAGCAAGAGAGGTTATTAATCGTAAAGTTATTGGTCTTCTTCCTTGAGATGACCGGAATTTGTTGCCGGTAGGAGATTCATCGGAGTAGCATTGGAACTAGATATAATAGTCGATGGAATCAAGAGAAGTAATCGTCGGAGGGAAAACTGTTTGGTCACAGGGAGAAATCTATTAAAAATATTTGGTTATTTCTTTTAATAGTAGTTGGAAGTAAATTAGTAATAGGTAAATAAAGTTAAAGATAAATAGTTAAAATAAAGATTTAATATGATATTTACCCTAAGGTAAAAAATAAAGTTATTATACATTAACCATTTTATATTAAAATTTTACAGTCAAACTAATAGATATCCTCATGAAGCGACACGTGTCTTAGGAGTTTCTTTTTATATATATGTAAAATAAGCTTTAGCGTGCATTAATCCTATACATGATATACAAACATATCGATTCCAAATTCCATGCAATCTTAATTACGACACCAAATCAATTCTCAACACATATGATTAACAATATTGTTCCTAAACAATTTTGTTACTCTGTTGAATTTTACTTATATTTTGGTTTAATAATAAGATTTCTTATTATAAATTTCCAAGGAAAAAGGTCTTCTGAAGTACTACTAACTAGCACGACTACACGAGAGACCTATTTAGGTAATGCGAGGTATAAAATCAACACATAACACATATATATATAAGAACAATTCAGTAACAGAACATGAAAATCTTTATCTTTAAATACTATGGTGACACCGAAAAGAAAAAAAATTTAAGCCATAATCTATCCAACATTGTGAACGTACTCAGATATTTTACAGCCACTCACATCTCCTCTCTGATCAGCAATTAAGTTTGATAATCATTCTAAGGAAAGGAAAGAAAACCCAGAGAAAATAAGTTCTTCTTCTGATGGTGATAGTCATTCATTTTCGTTACCATTGTTGAAAAATTTCCAGAGCTAAGGGCGGAAATGATCAGCCTTGGTCAACTTCATGATGAACTTGAAGAAGCAAAGAACCTAGAAGTAAGAAATCATGCTGTAATCAATCAGATAACGCAAGGAATCAATGAAATCAGGCAAAGGACCATTCTGGAGCCATCAGAAGATATGAGGAAAGAAACAAAAATGGTCAGAGAGTTCATTCTTGGATTTCTTGTTGGTGATGTGCAAGCCGTAACTTGCATGGGCATGTTGAGGGGTCTAGGCCACAATTGCCATCTTCCTATTGAAAGAATGAGCAAACTGAAGAAAGTCGGTAGAGATAAATGGAAGAGGGTTGAGGAGAGGTGCAAGGAAAACCATCGACAGGAAAGTGGTTCATGGAGAGAGAGGAAGTGAAAAAAGTGTCGATTTAGTCTAAAAGTTTGCTCTACTCGTTGATTTAGTCTAAACATTTGTTCGGTTGTCGATTTCATCCAACGGTATGACTTTTGTAGTCGAGTTAGTCATTTGGACGAGAATACCCCTCAAACTAATTTGAATTAACCCAAATAGTATAGAAGTTATTCAAAAATTACCCCTTATGATATAAAAAGTTTACAATATTATTTTATTTTTCCGTCATTTTCCCTTTTTTGGTATATCAATTTATTTATTTATTGTCATCTAATAGCTCTTAATAACAATTATTTTTTATTTTTTTTTATTTTTTTTAGTGTGAAATATGAACTCTAAATTTTTTTTCCCTACATGTTATAGATACATGAGAAACTATATTACAAATTCTTTTTGTTAGACACCATTTTTTCTATATGTTATAAATATATAGAAAATTGTGTTACACCTTCACTTTTTTCAATAATTATTTCTTTTTTCTTTTATGTTGATTAAAAACTTGTATTTTTTTATTTTTTTCTCAATCTGTTTTCATTACTTTTCTTAATATTCCATATTACTACTACTACTACTACTACTACTACTATATATATATATATATATATATATATATATATTCTTTGTTGCTAACAGTGACGCATAAAAAATCAATACATGTGTTTTTAACACTTTCAATGCTGCATTCACAAATCAAAATTAACAAATTAATGCAACTGACTTTATACATGAAATTTGATATTTTAGTATTTATTTATACTAAATTCGTCGAAAATTGATTTAGTTCTCGGGGTAGGAGTTGTGAAGAACGACTTCTAAATCGTATGGAAAAAAACTAGTATATAATACAATATATTTATCTATTATATATGTATGTATACATTTTAAAAATAAAATAAAAAATATTTATAAAATAAAAGGTGAATTTGTAACATAACTTTATATATTTATAATTATTTCATGTAGAAAAATAAAAAACTTCAAAAAAGTAAAAGTTAGCGTTTCAAACGAAAAAGAAATTAGAAATTTTTTTGTTAGATGAAATTACATAAGTAAATTGAGAAATATTATTTCGGTGCATGCCAAAATATAAATAAATAAAGAAAAACAATGGACAAAAAAAATTTAAAAATAAAATACATTTTATAAATTTGTACATCATAAGGGCATTTTTTAAAAAAACTCTAAACTATTAGGCTTAATTTTAGTTAGTTTGAGGGATTTTTTCGTCCAAAGGACAATCGACGACAAAAGTCATACCTTTGGATGAAATCGGTAACTTGCAGAAATGTGACATTTTCTTGAAAGTTCTTGTGAGAAAATTATTAAGGGCTTCTTTGGACGTCAGTTTCGTTTTTATTTTTTACTTAAATCTAGAAAGTGGTTTAAGTGAAAGCGTAATGGAAGATAAAAAAGTTGTTTGGATGGTATTTTACTATTTTAAGATAGTGACCATTTATGAAATTGAAATAGTTCAGTGACCAAATTAAAGACTTTACAATAGTTTAGTGACCAAATTTGTGCTGGTTGGCGAGCTTTTTGCTTGCCAACCAAAGGGTGGGTGGCGCTATTTTGTGCGCCACCCACCTTAATTACTTTTTTTTTTATTTTTTTATTTTTTAATTATCTTTAATTTAATTATTTTTAATGTATTTAATTAATTTCTTCTATTTATTTTAATTATTAGTTTAATGAATTTATTTGATTCATGTATTTATTTAATTTATTTAATTCATGTATGTTCTTAATTTATTTATTTGTTTGGTGGTTAAACAAATAATTTTAACTTAAATATTTAGAGAATGTTGCTTAATTATGTAGTAAATTTTTATAAAAATTTATCATTTAGTTATTTAAAATTTTTTAAACGTAAACAAAAAATTATCATTTAATAAAAACTAAAACTTATGAATTTACTACCAAACAAATTAATTATTCATCATCGGTGCATCTAGCCGTCCTGGGAATATTTTTTTTGGAAAAAAATATAAAATTTAAAATACGTTGAAACGAAAAATTAAAAAGTATCGAAAAAATATAAAATAATTTTATTTATTTATTTAATTTTTAAATATTTTTTAACTGCCAAATAGATAAATAAAAAATAAAATTAAATAAATAAATAAATAAAATAATTAATTAAAAAATAGAAAAAAAATTTTTTAAAAAAAAGTAATTTCAGTTTGACGAGCATTTTGCTCGCCAAACCGAAGGGGGTGGCGCCAGATTTTTGCGCCACCCTCATTTTGGGGGTAATATTCCCTCTCGCCTCTCTTAATTGGGAGGCGAGAAAATTGTGCGCCACCCTTTAAAGGGTGGTGCATTTCTCCTGCGCCAGCCGTGAAAGGCTGGCACAGTGCTCCGTCGCCCCCACCCTTTTTTTTTAAAAAAAAAATATGAATGCAAGGGTAAAATGGTCTTTTTGAGATTTTTTAGGACGTTCAAATGAAAAAATTAGGGCGTTCAGTAGCCTCCCGGTATATTTTACCGGGAAAGTAACGAGACGATCATGTATGATCACCCCAAGAATGGATGTGAAAATTAGTGTTTATTTTCTTCTTTCCTTTAATTGAGGAGACATCACCTTCATCTTTGAACTTTTTTCTTTTCTTTTCTTTTCTTTCTTCTCTTAGTTCTAAGCTTTGATGAGTAACAGAATTATAAAACAATGATGATTACTATTGGTTGTAATTTGGTTTTGGGTAAAGGGACGATGTAAATGTCCAAAAACTAAAAACTTTCTAATTTTAAATATAGCATGTTCTTGTCAAAATCAAAGAAGAAACATTAACTTTCCTCTCTAGATCTTCTATACTTGAAAGTAATATCCCAATTAGCATGGAGCTAAGGCCATGCAAGCTTGATGTAGGAGAAAGAGAGCATCTGTTTTAGTTGTACTACATAATTTGGGGGACTTGGAGGAACTTGGCTCAAATTCTTCATTAGTAATGTAAATGTGAGTGATTGAACGGTTAATGGCAATGGATGTTGTGATTCCATATTTTAAGTTTGGTATGAACTCTCGAATGGATGTAACTCCAACTGGTGATGATTGGTTCAATAAGATAATCAATAATTAAAACTAGACAATTTTTTAACCTTTAATGTCATTTGTATATCAATAATTAAACTGAAATTTACAATTTTTTTCTTCCTCATCGAAGGAAGAAGTCTGATTACCACTTTTTTTGGAAGGGAAACTTTTTTTTTTCCCTCTCGTGTTAGTTATATTTAATCAACTATTTCACTCAATAAATAGCGACAGATTTCAGGGTAATAGCTCGTTTCAGGGAAAAAAAAAATGCTTTCGTATTGTATTGTGCATTGAACTTTTGTATAAATAAAGAGTCTCACAAAAATAATTAATGTTGTTTATAAATTGTACTAAAAAATTTACAATTCACAATTTACAAAATAGATTATTTTGTGGGACAATGCTTTGAGGTTAATTTTAATCATGGTCTGATTTGTTTCGTGAACACCTATTTTCTGGATCTGTTAACATATATTTATGAACGAATATGCAGGATCAAAATAATTTATTGTGTTGGACAAGTTATTGATTTTTGCTCTCTCTTTTTTCTTTTTTTTCTTTTGTGGGGGTAGTATACATGTTATATATATATATATATATATATATATATATATATATAAATTTTGAGGGGAAAAAAGAAAAAAAAAGTTCAGCTACAGCCAGTTATACACTTTAGTGAATTTTAATTTGTAGATTTCAAGTAGTTACCAAGAAGATTAAAATGGAATAATTTGTATAACATGTCGAGTACCCTACTTAACTAAAAAATAAATCCTAGGCATATTTGAAAATTAATTATTTCTACACATTTAGTACGTAAGTAAAGCTATAAAACTCGCTCATATCTAAACTTAGATTTCAGAAATTCACATCTGCATAATAAGAAAGTTATTTTCAATCTTCTTCAAGAAAGAAAAAAAAGGTAAAAAGCTCCATCGTTCCAAGAATTTCAAGAACTGTCTACACAATGGCCGCTGATGCATCAACGATTTCCACATTTGGAGAACTATACCCTGTGCTGAAGCAAGATATGATTGAACTTATCAATCTGGTGGATGGACTGGAAACAGAGCAGAACAGAGCAGTATTGAATCAGGCGGCCATTAACGATTTGACCCAAAGAATTGCTGAGGGAAAACGCCGGTATAAGCCAGCACACCAAAAGGACTTGACCAAGGTAATGCATGCAGCAATGGGTTACATGGCAGAAGACGTTGGTGACCTGAGAGCCCTGGTTATGTTGAGGCGCGAGAGTTACTTTACCAAGACTATCTTCTACAATGCTCATGGTCCTAATGCAGCCGCCATAATTGCAGCAGCGAACCAGTACAATCAACGTATCCAAGTCTTCCGGGGGGCCGTAAGTGTCAGTGAAGAAGAACACGACTGGAATCAAGAAAAGATCAAGGAGGACTCCTATCAAGAACCCGACACTTGGCATCTTAGAAAATGGTGATATCTTGTCAGAATTCTTTCCCCCTTCTTGATGATCAGACTTGTTTCTTGACCCCCAGTGCTACTAGTTCATTACATTTGATTTTGACCGCCTTTCCATCCTTTTCTGGTTTTAGTCTTGCTAGTAGTGTGATCAGAGACAATGTGCGTAATTGAGTTGTGTTTCAAAAGGGGAAAAAAAAAAAAAGTAGGGGTGTTTGTGATTTTGATTTTTGGGATATACTACTTTAGAAAAGGGGGGGGGGAGATTTTTGGGATGTTGATTAATGGGGTCTTGATTTCAGCTGTGTAGCAAGTTTAGTTTGTCTATCAATGGGCTGGTTGTCCCAAAATACCTATTGGGTTTGTGTCGATTGATGAAACCAGTTGAGGGTTGTACCGGAAATTATTGTATTGATGGTGATTAATGGATTGATTGGCATGAGTATGGTATCCCTTTTGGGGTTCTTTTTTGATTAATTAATGGCAGCAATTTGAGTATTATTATCAGCAAATTTATTGTGTATATGTTGTTTTATGTTGATTAATGAATGGTTTACTATCCAAATATGGTATCCCTTTCCAATTTGAGTGTAGTGTTTACTTTTTGATGTCACAATCAATCTTTTACCTCCTTTATTTTGTACACGTTGGAGAGAGAGGTCAACATGTTCCTTTCTTTTTCTCTCCCCACAGTTGAAAGTTGAAACTCGAAAGTCCCTGAAATAGTTTTCGGTCATTTTTTCTAATCATAGTTCGAGAAAAAACTTCCGCTACAATTTTCTTCAGGGAATTTTTCAGCGCTGAAAACCCCCCAATCGAATGAGATGCGAGGGATTTGATCTTTTGTTGACAAACCCATTTTGAAGTTCCATAGTTTCATCTTCCAAGGTTACATTTTTATGCGCAAAGTCTGAATGCGGAGTTTGATTTCTTCGTTCGAAGGATTTTGGAACTGGGTGAAAGTAGAAGAAGTTTCCATTTTTTCCACGCACCTGAAGTAAGATTTCTGATTGTTTGTTCCAATTACACATAGCCGCCTTACACTGTTGTTTTGCTTTTGTATTTTGACTAAAATCTCAAATCCTAGCCTAAATCAAAAGTATAGATCCCAATGAGTCCGTACTGGTATTGATTCTTCCATCAGTTCTTCGATTTTGAGTCCTAATTTGTACCGACTCTTCCGAAAGTTCTAAGTTTGGTGGCGATTTCGTTAAGGATTTTTGGTGGCCGGAGGAGCTTTGTATTGGGGAAGGTATATGATGTGTTGGAGATGAAATGAGCGACAGGGTTTATAGAATTGATCTTGTTTATCATGGGGGTTACGCTTGTTGCGATGATAGATAACCCAAAGTTTCTGTTGCAGTATTGTCAATGACCATAGGGTAGCTGCGTCTGGTTCAACGGCCGGAAACTATACCCAGAGATACAGAGAATCTCAATATTAGACTTCAAGTTAATGAGGCTGATTGGGAATCAATGAGTCAGGCGTAATTTCTATTAATTGTCTTGAAGGAGATGTTTGTTGTGTAAAGGAAACCAGTGCAAAAGGTCCTCCTCCGAGGAAGCCATCTTTGGGAGCTTGTCTTTCATCACTATTGCTGAGGTTGCGTCATTCCTAATTAATTTTTATCTAGTGCAAGCATTATGCTTCATAATACCATATTCTTTATCATCCTGCATTTATGATTTCCTATCTGTTTGCATGTACTGCGGCAATTATACTGGCAGATCCCGCACTGCATTAGATTTTACATTAGTCCGAGCTCTTTTTTGTCCAACTTCTCTGTCTCATTCCTTTTTCGGAGACTCTCTAGAACACATGTGATGCTTTGAGCCTTGGAATTATATGCCTTGGCACGTCTCTTGCTATGTAGTAATCGAGAATGCAATCTCTTACCTTGGTATTGTCTTTGATGTGTATTGCTCAGTAGTGATTTATAATTAAGCAGGGCTCTTTCTGCAAGGTTCATGAGGACAAAATCCCTTTCCTTAGTGTCTGGTAGTTTGCTATAATCACATTTGTGATTTGTGTTCACAGTTATAATTTTATTTAGTTTTAGATTTTATATAGTTGGAATCAACGAGAGTACATGCATCCATGCATCGAGAACATGAAAAAGAGCTTTTGGCATGTTTAGCTTGTTATTAGTTCATTGGCGATTATTGTGAATGGAGCTGTCACTCATGTTTTTGCATTTAGGCAACAGATGGTTCAGATTGATGTACATACTGTGCTATCACATTAATGTATTGTGCATGTTTGCATTTGAGTTACATACCTAGAAATTCGTGGCCCTATTGATAATGCAGACGAAGTAGGTTAAGGATCGGATTGTCCAGTTGTCTCTGTCATTCTGGAGGTGCTTATAAATGTTAAAGAGATGGAATTTTGTGATAGTTTGCTGAAGTTAAAGAGCTTGAGAGAGAGAGAGAGAGAGAGAGAGAATTTAAGGAGATTAGAGACCTTAAGTGCTAGTTTTTCAAAGATTACGTACTTAATACGCAATTTCCCTGCAATAATAATATTATTATTATAATATAAAGTATATAAACCAGTTAGGAAATCAATAGTTATGGAAAACTCATAATATAGAATCCTATTCCATCTCTAATCACCAAATTTTTAGGGATCGTTATTACAAGTTTTCCTTTAGCGAGGATCTTGACGTTTTTAGTTCGTTTCTATGTTCAGAGTTGAGACCGCTGTGAAAGACAAATAGAAGTACGAATTATTTGGGTGATTACTCTTTTATTTTGTTGGCTCGTGTTCTTTGCATCAACTGCTGGATTCTTCTTTTCCAGATTTCTGAACGATTGTGTTTTTCTTTGAATCTAAAACTGAGGTTCTTAGAGTGTCCTGGGAGACTGTATGATACCTTCACTTTCCAGACAGTCATAGGGTTCGATAAAAATTTTACCTTTAGACCATCTTGGGTTTCTGGATAGAGTTAGGAAGAAAATTTGCTCTGTATGATTAATGTTTTGAGTTTGATCGAACAGTTTAATGTCGTCTAGGACTTCGGATCTTAAAGATCTTGCACCTGTGTGCATTATGCCAGCAGAAAAGCATGGAAAAAGATCCCGCCAAGCACCCCTCGAATCAGACCTAATGTGTTGCATTAATGAGTTGCCAGATGAAATGCTAATGAATATTCTGTCAAACCTGGAAGTGAAAGAGGCAGCAAAAACATCAGTGCTTTCTCGTAAATGGAGGAATCTCTGGACATTCTCTGCGAATTTGGATTTTGATCGGACATGGAAGAAGCTCTGGAAAAAGCTATGGGAAAATTTGGAAATTGATGTGAGGGACCTGTGGATGTTGTACAGCGATACCAAAAGGCAAAAACATGGAGTACACAAGTTTATGGAAAGTGTGAGTAATGTGTTGGATAGACACAGAGGATCAACCCTGGATCGGTTGAGGATTGCTTTTAATATGCATTTCTATTGCCCTTGTATTGAACAGTATGTGGCTAAATGGGTTGATTTTGCTCTTGTTAAACGTGTTCGGATCCTAGAATTAGACCTAACTTCTGCTTCCGGATCTGATGTAAGCGAGAGTGCCTGTGCTTTTCCATCTTGGTTGCTGAGTATTCCCCTGGATTTGCCCTGCTTTGACAGACTAACTGCCCTGTGCTTGAATTCAGTTTCGATATCGGATGCTGAACTTGCATACTTCTTGTCATCATGTCCGTTGCTCGAGCAATTATCCGTGCGAAATGCCAGAGGTCTAAAAAATGTGAGAGTTTCTGGTGTAGCATTGACATTAAATCGCTTGGAGATAGGGTCCAACTATGTTTGTGACCAGCTGGAGAGTGTCGAGATTTGTGCTCCAAATCTCACATCCTTTAAATATGGATGGTGTCGAGAACCAACTGTGAAAATGTGCTTAACAGATGTTCCTAAGCTAGCTTGGATTTCCCTGAGGAATTCTTCATGTGAACATTCAATCGTCAAGTTTCACAATGATCTGTGTCTCTCTCGGATGAAGAAATTAGAATTGGATCTCCGGAGTATGGTGAGTTCTACAACCTATGGTGTATATATCTAGACTTAATTGTCTCCATAGCATTAAACTACTATGTGTTTCTACTATACTATTTATGGTTGTAGGATCATGACCGATGCTTACAATTTCCAAGAAGCTTTCCAGAACTCAACAACCTTGAGGACCTGGGACTTAAATTCATAGTGCGAGAAGACGAAAATCTCCTATTTCTGAATTCAATTATAGCTGCATCTCCATGCTTGCAGAAGTTGACAATGGAGGTACACGTACGCCTTAACTAATGTTAAAGTTTTCGGCATTTGTTCTAGCATAATCTAACATTACATTTGATACTGCTAGTATAACATGCATAAAGCTTATTCAAAGCTTGAAGACTTGTGCGAGGAGCTAGGTGGCGGTTTTACGCATCAATGTCTTCAAGTGATTCAATTTGTTGGTTGGAATGGAGTCCAGACAGAAGTTCAACTTGCAGATTATTTGATAAAAAGTGCCCCACAACTTGAGAAGCTCATTCTTGATCTCCGCATTCCAGAGTCGAAGCAAACGGAAGCGGGATGGATGAGCGAAGATTATCATTACTCTGAAAGGAATTGGCAAGGTCGGGCAGATGCTTTATTATGTGCAAAACAATTTGAGATTAATTTCCAAAAGCGATTCCCCAAAGCTAGATTGATAATAGTACATAGGCTTCAATCTTCTGATACGGAAACTACGTCAATTAGTTAATCACATACTCCGTCTGTTTTAAGATTTCATCCGTGAATTATTACGTACAAAGTAATTTATTATATATTTATAAAGTAATTTTAAAATTAGTTAAAGTAACCAAAATTTGTGATAGAAATATAAATAAATTGGATATTTTGAAAAGATTAAATAGAAAATCTTAATTTGAGCATTATAATAACGAATTTCAATCCAAAAGAGCTCAACAACAAATTTTATACGATAAAAATTAATATGGTTTTTTTTTTTACTCATAATTTTCAGAGGGCCTCAAATTCCAATCTCGCTTTAGGCCCCCACGGACCTTGAGTCTTGCAACAAACATTTTGTTCACTATTACAACCTCTACTTCTCTTTCTAATTGGGTTGGACCCAAACATTCCAAATTCGTAAGTCACGATCCAAACTACCACTATAAACGAGAAAAGAAGATTTCCTCCCGGTTGAGGAATCACAATCTCCCGTCACATGGCTTTTTCCGTCCTCCTCCGCCGCCGAAGTCAAACATTTGACCGGACCTTTATGACCTTCCAACACGGCCAAACAAGAATAACTCTTTCCCAACCCTCTCTTCCAAACTCTCACCGTTTTATCAGCTGAACCACTAAACACCAAATCAGAAACAACTGTCAAGCATAAAATGGCCTTAGTATGGCCTCTGAGTGCACCGGAAACCACCATATGGGCGTTCCCGCCATCTTTGACCCACACAATTATGGACCTATCACAAGCCCCTGAATACAAAACAGAGCCGTCTGTGCTAAGGGCTAATGCATTTACAGCTGATTTATGTTTCTCTAATGTAGCAACCAAACTATGTTTCTTGTCTCCCTGATACTTCTTCCAAACCTTAATCTTCCTGTCTGCTGAACCTGTGTAGATGAATCCATCATTGGGTAAGGCAATTGCATTGATTGCATCATCGTGTGCGTTCCATATTGATTCCAAACATTTGTAATCCGATGTCCTCCACATTTTCAGCGTCCGATCCCAGGAAACAGAGTAGAGAAAAGAGCCATCTTTTGATAAGGCTAAGGCAGAGATGGCGTCAACATGATGAACCCATGTGCATTTCTTGTGTCTCCGAACTTGAACATAGTTTTTGGCCGAGAAGAATCTCGAACAACGATCGTTTAACGTGGGCAACGTCGCGATGCACTTGTAATGCTTGTCATTATTCTCGTATTGGTCGATTTTCCAGACTCGGATCTTGTGATCATGGTGAGCAGTGAAGAGTCTATTACCCAAAATTACTATGGATTTGACTCCGCTGCTTCCTTGGGCAACCACGTTGTGGAGGATAACAGAGGAGGAGACGTCGGAGGTAGGAGGAATCCGGTTCCAGACGCGTATTTCACCGTCGGAGGAGCCGCTGTAGAGGTGTTTTCCGGCGAGAGACAGAGAGGAAACGTAAGCAGAGTGGCCTTTGAGGGTGGCTAAAAGGGAAGTGTGAGAAGATGCTGGTTTTTCATGTGGAGTTAGAGATGGAACTGAAGGTAAACTCGGTTGTGAATGAAGTGATGAAGAACCAGATGAAGTGTCTGAATGAGGATGAACATGATTGGAATCATGGGATTGATCAGGGTCATTTTTCAGTTTGTTATTATTACAAGGCAGAGGACATTGAAAAACTCCCATCTTGCTTGAAAATGGAACATGTAACACTTTCTGTGATGGCCTGAAAAATTGGATGAATTTGATCAAATGAACTTATAAGCTTATAAAGTGGTAAGAAAAGGTTGACGTGTGTAGCTCAGCAAAATGGGCGCCTGTTAGAGAAAAGGCAGGACACAAAATTAAGGGGATGAAGTTTGACATTGACATTTGAGAATGGCCCAAAAGGTTTACTGTTCAATAATCAAAGTGTGGAGTCAAGGTTGGTGGAGATAGCAAAAGGGTTGCATCATTCCCATGGAAAATCAATCCGAAATTCATATTATAATTTTTCCCTCAAACTTTTGATTCATCATCAACTTGCAAGAATGAGCCGCATTCTCTTTTTCCTTTTTGTGTTTGTTTCCTCTTCAGAGTTCAGAGCACTTGTTTGATCTTTGGGAAAATCCAGATGCTTCCAAGAAACTCTAATCCTTGAGAACATCTGCGTGGAAGCTTTCTTTCTAATCAAAACAAGCAATTTACCAGAGAATGATAGTGTGTTTGAAACTTGGTGGAGATCAAATTCTTGTTTCTTCTTGTTTGTTCTTTGTACGCTAAAGTTATGGTGGCCCCAACCCACTAATTTTACCCATTCGAGGTTGGTACTATGCCAAGTAAGTAAATTTCAATGGATGGTTTGAGAGAATTTAATTGATATTTTTTTCATCCAGGTGTGCCTCTCGCTTTTGATATTGTCTGTCCAGTTCATCATTGTCTTTAGTGGTAAGTTAAAATGTGATTATTCCTTGTAATTAAGTTTAGGTTTCATAAAAGGATTTTATTTTTTAACTGCGTACTTAATCTTTTTCTTTCTCGTGTTAATAGATAATGTTTACCTAAGTTGATATGATTTGGTCCCACAGTTTATCTTTTAGTACATGAACAGAAAATGAGGGAAGCAATAGAATATTGGAAGCTGAGAGCCTGAGATTAATAAAATTTAAGCATGGTATTTGTTAATAGTTGGATAATTTCATATGACGACATGCAAATAGTGAAATAAGTTGGGAGTTTTTGTTTTGTCATTGCGCTAGTTTTGTGACATTTGGAATTTTATGATGTAATAAGGTTTTTCTTCTAATATTTACTTTTTTTTTTACGGTGTAATCTTAATTAGGTGTATCGGAGGCACGTTTGTTGCATCGTTTAATTGATAATACAAAAGAATTAAACTGAGTAGTAGTTTGTGGACACGAATACAACTACTCTGGGGAGGTCAACTTCTTTAATGGATTTGACAGAAAAGAAAATATTACCTAATCGTATATTATGGGAGAATAAAATAAACGATGCGTCAAAAGAAAAATATTTCCTAACCTCCATTGTAGTATTGACAATTATATACGGAGTAAAAAATAAAAAAATAAAAAAAAGTTGCAAGCTTTTATAGCTTACTTAATCCTGGTTGGCACGACGGTGGAATACATTTTTCTTGAAAGGTGCAAAGTCTGTTTTGTGCAAAATTTCTCCAACAAAAAACATTAAAAAGATCAACTAGTAAGGAAATCACGAATTTGACTCGAGCTAATACAGTTTTATGTAAATTGTAAACATCTCTTCTTTGTTACTCCCTCAATTTCAATTTGTAGGTCGTTTTAGGTTTGGAGAGATTTTTCAAAATGTAGATCGTTTTAGCTTTACCCTCAATTTCAATTTGTAGATCGTTTTAGGCTTGGAGATATTTTTCAAAATTCTATGCATATTAATGGCCATTTTTTTAACTTTACCCTCAATAAATGATACTAATCTATTTTTATTTAGTATTTTTTATAGTTTCAATATAATTAACGAGGGGTAAAATAGATATTTAACACTTAAATTAATTGTTGTATGATTGTCTCATTAGTTTACGTGCTAAGTCTAAAAAGACTTATATTTTGAAATGGATGAAGTATGTATCGTCACTCTCTCAATATCAGAGTAACAATCCATTTTTATTCAATTAAAATAATATAATAAAGTGGAAAAAAAAATTCTGGAACATAACGACATATAAATTAATGTGGATAACTTGATGTTATAACCCGACCCGAGACTGTGTTAATTGTTGGTCCCAAATTAGTGACTGAATTTGGTCATGCATCAACATAGGCGGCTGGCTTGGGAAAAGCAGACGTCGACACTACATGATGGTAATATTGTAGATCTTTATTATGGTAGATGAACCTAGTTATAACTCTTTCCTAGTTAAGCTAAGGCTCCATTTGTAAAGTGCTTTATTAATAATTAAAGATGTAAAAAGAAATTGTTAAAAATTAATTTAAAAAAAAAAGAGCAATTACAATTTGAGTCTCGATTGAATAGTTCAATAACTCAATACTCCTCCCTTCATGGGACTACAATCACTTCCATATAAGAAGAATTAATAAAAGCCGATTAATTTAGTTAGTTATTGAAACAGTTTATTCAGATATTCTTTGTAGCCAAAAAAAAATAAAATGTAGGCAGTAATTAATTTTAAATTTAGCCGATTTAATGAGTAAACTTGAAAATACATTATAAATAAAATATTAAAAACATCAAATGCTTTATAAACGCAATTAAGAGAAATTTTTAAAAAATGTTTTATAACAAGAACATAATGAATTTCAAACAAATGCTTCCAGACATGAGAGCGTGTCGGAGGGTCAACATTTAAGTTAATGGCAAACAAATGTAGTTACGCTTACAAGAGGCCCATTTTCCATATCAAAGAAAAATTAAACAATAAGTTTGCAAACATCATCGACATTTCAGACAATGTGAGCTAGCTTATCTTATCCGATTATCTCTATGGTTTTGGTGTTTTTGGATGAAAGCAAAAAAGCACCATAATTTCATAAAAAAGAAGGCAGTGTTTACAAGTTGGGTGTCTTTTTAATGTGGTCAAGTCATCCGCATTATCCATTGCAAATTTTGACACTAATTTAGTAACAATTACCAGTTTTCTTCCTTCCTATTTTTTTCTGTTCTTTTTTCCTATTTCATTTTCCAATTTCCACATCGTAGAAAACATAAATGGGAAAAGGCAAGTTGGACGACTTCTTTTAACAATTTTCCACCATTTCTTTTTTGCCTAAACTAAAGGGCGGTGAATTGATGTTGATGATAATGATGATTCAAAGGTGATGAATTTTCGTAAGATTCTTTATTAAGATGTGACACTAATTGATATTTGCTTTGTCTTAAAATGATTGTTCAATTTTAATTTTCACTTTTAGTACGATTTGTATTACAATTGTCCAGTTGTAATTTATACCATATAATAATATATTGGTTTTAGTCAAGTCTTATTTGTGTTTAGAAAATAATTCTCTAGTGGGTCCCTTCTGGTTTCTCATGTTTAATTCCAGTGGGCTGGACTGAACAGTTTGGACTGTGGTATTAGGTCTTCGTGAAAGACTTGAATGTGAGACAAAATGTTAAGCCAATGCTAACGGGGTCAATCCCATGGGAAATTGTTCAACGTCACAGTTCACACTTCTTTGCAATTTGCACAGATATTGGGCTGGCAATTGGGCTCTATTAGTTGCCCATCTCCGGAATATAGCGATGACCAGAAATTACTGTAACGAATTCTCGGAAATGAGAGAATGCTACTCTAATGCGGTGATACCAACACTTTGCTTTTGCTTGGCCAAAGTGGTAAAGTATTTCGATTCATTTAGGTGAGGTCTCGAGTTCGAGTCTTGCGAATAGAAAGAACAATGTTAAAGGAGTTTTCCCTTCAAAAGAAAACTAACCCAACTAAGTACGGATTAGTCTGAGTACAATGCACTTAAAACACCGTGTGCAGTATGAAAGAAAAAAAAAAAAAAAACTCTAATGCGGTGACATCTGATAAGTTTCTAAAGACGGTTTAAAGTTTCTTGTATTGTTTATGCGTGAGTAATAAAGATTAGAATTATTCTCTTCATTTACAAACAAAAAATCCAAAATAATTCTATGGCCACAGACTTACTAAGGCTCTCTTTGTTTTTTTTTTTTCTTTTCCAGGTTCTTCCAAAAACTTTATATTACTAAATATCTCGTCCCAACATACTTTTTACATTTTCAAAAAAATACCTAAAACATATATTAAAAATTATCTAAACATACCCTAAGTAATTATGCTCAAAGTCACAAAATTGTTGATTGTTATAGGACGGAATGTGGTGTTCATTGTTTGTTAGCTTGAACTTTTGCCGTTTAGGAAACAACTAACATCCACCTCAAAAGACAAAAGGTGTGCATGTGATATCCATGTGTGTTTGGCATAATGTAACTTCGGGTGTTCCATTTTTTAAGCACTCATCATATGAAATGCAGATGTGTGATCAATCACATCGATATTCGACCTGTAAATTGAAATCAATAGAGAAATATGCTAATAAACTTTCACATAATAATTAGTCAAATGCCAAAACTCATTAGAGCATGCTATATATGACATATGATGATAATTATAAAAATCATACTTCCTTCTCCGTCCTGAAATGATACTCCAATTTGAATTTTAACTTTTGATATAAATAGATAATTATTTATTGAGCGAAGAAATGAAATTACGCAAAAATAAAAAAAATAAATAAAATCAACACACTACCACATTAGAATCAATCAAATTGAAATATAGAATTACCGCAAAACTGACATCAAAAAAATCAATGCATGGCAATTGACTAAGGACTAATCTGTGTATTAGCATGGAACTATGCTTACAAGAATGGGGAAAAAAATTCGTAATTTTCATCATAAAATCATCGGCAACAACAATAGTAATCCAGCTGTCAGTAGGACCCATGACGCCGTCAATCCATGGGACCCGCCAGAATCCTTCTCGTTACTCGGCGTGAGCGTCGGTTGTGGCCCGTCGGAATTCGGGTTAGACCCGTACAACACCTGGATCCCCTGAATGTCATCAGGCGTGAGTTCCACTTTCCGGGTCACCGACGCAATACTGGGGTACATAATCGACTCCTCCACCGACGAATGCCCCAAACCCAACAAGTGCCCGATCTCGTGGACCACCACCGATTCCAGGTCAACGGCGGAAGCCAACGACGGCGCGTTCAAGAAGTCGCCGTCGATCACCCAGTTCTCGTCGCCATCTAAATGTAACAAACCACTCGGCGGCGAAAACGCGTGGGCCAAAGTTCCCAACACGCCGTCGAACGGTTCCCCGTCGTTGTGGTCGCCGCTGTATATCCCAATCTTGATATCCGCGGCATTATACGACGACGTCTCGGTGAAATTCAACGGCGTTACCTCCGACCATCTCCCGAAGGCGTTAGCGAACACCGTCCGGACGACGTCTTCCACCTGATTCGCGGGCAGGAACGCATAAGTCAGCTCCGTCTTACCCCTGGGCCACCGAGGCCGACCCGGAAAAAACGAGTAATGGGCAACGGTGTGTATGTTGGGGGAAGTCGTATTCCCGGCGGCCTTGCCGGAGTTCATGGAAGACGTGCCGTTGACTATGTCCGGGTTCCCACATCTCGGGCGGGTAATGTGTTGTAATGTGGGCCCGTCTAGCTGGCCGGTGGCGTTGAGATTGAAATTCTGCTGATAAATCTTTATGGCCGATTCTAAAGAATCGTCAAAATCATCGGTAAAGTTAAGGAAGGATTGGTTAATGTATCCAAACCTTTGAAAGTATTGTTTGAGTTTGGATAAGCCATCTAGCTTTTGGCCGAATTCGCATCCGGCGAGTTTATTAAACCTGTCCCATGCTGTTGTATTTGGGATTAAAGATTTCGGGATTGAAGTAATGTTGGGGAAGAAATGAGCTGAAGTTGGAGTGGCCGAAAACAGAGCGACAAACAGAACAGATGATGAGATGATGAATAAAGGGCTGATTTTCATCATCTTTTCCGACAACTAAAATGGGGAGGTCTGGAACTCATACAGTTTGGATCTGAATGGTTATTTAAATCTGTGAATTTTTTATTATTATTTTTTTTTGGCAGAACTTTCTTAGAAGGATAGATTGTACAATTTGTACTTGTTAATTGACTTTTGTGCTTAATTACGTGGGACAGTTCTGAATTGTTCATGCAAAGACGTGTTCCTGGCTATGAATTGTTATTATGTGGCTGTTTCTTGAGCTTTATTTTAGTGCCACTAAATTTAATGAGTTGCTAATAACAACAATATTGTTTCTTTAAGAAAAAGTAGTCAATCCTCTTTATTTTAATTAGCTTTGTAAGTAATCCAAGGCCAAGAGAAATTGCGAGTTACATGACTTTTGTTGGATGTCATGCATGATAACACCATTTCTGTCTGACTTTCATGAGCCTGTTGTATATGCAGTGGTGTTACCAACAATTTGACCTTTTTCTTTCCCCTCCTTTTTTTAACTACTTTGAGGAAACGGTTAATGTTGGTTACCCGTTACGCCTTTCGTGGAATGTCATACATGACAGCCTTTTCTGTCTATTTTGATCTTTGACTTCCTTTTTTTTCATCTTAAAAGAAGAAGACACACAAGCAAAAAAAAAAAAAGAAAAAAAAGAAAAGAAAATGTTTTGAGGAAAATGTTAATGTTTATACTAAAGTTAAATCATCATCCCCCCCCCCCCCTCTGGTTCAAGATATTTATAATGCAAGGGTTGCATTTTGAGAAAGAGAGTTCAAGAATTGTGGTAATATTAACAAGATTAATGGTGTTCACTGGTAAGCAATTTCGACTTTTCACTGGAATACAAAAAGTCACACATTGAAATACTTATAGCTACTTGTAAACTTTGCACAAGTTTGATATCGTTCAAATGGAGCTAGTTTGACACTATCTTAATTGACACCCTCTCCGTAAGTCTGGAATCCAGAAACTTCTTAAAGACTATAAGTTCGACATATTTCATTACTAATTTTCAAGTCCAAGTCGCAAACAGAGATGATATGCATGGTAAATTTCTTTCTCTCTCTCTCTCTCTCTCTCTTTTTGTTTGATAAGGTTGAATTCTTATGTCTCAAATTTTGAAAATCCTCAAACTTCTCGAAGAATTGGAAAAATGGGTGAATCAGATTTTGAACGTGAAACGATTCCTATAGCGAGCTGGCAAGTTACTATCCGTTCATAGACGCAACAATTTTCCAAGTAGAAGTTTACACCCTTAGATGCTCGTTTCAACAGCAAAAAAATTGAAAAAAATAACATAACCGCTTACTCGTATTCGATTTTTTTTTTCTTTTTTTTAAAAAAACCTATGGTACACTTAAACCACGCAAATCATCATTTGATACTTGCATCACACTTATATCCGTCTATCGAAAAATTAGTATGGTGCAATTCATTGTATTAAAATAACTCAACAAGGTTGTCCAATTATGTTGGGATCGAAAGACTAATAAAGTAAAACCCCAATTAAAGTAATCAATATCATAAAAACAAATTCTATTTTAGAAAAATCCAGGTTCTCGAAGCTGGTCGCTTTCATGAAACATGTGACACAACTGAAAAGCATATATAACCCGGCCGAGTTTGACCACATTGTTTCTGAAAAAAAATTATTATTTTGTTGTACTGTTTTAATTTAATAAAATAGATTTTTTTTGAGATAAAGAAACTACTATTTGATTGATTTGAGGTATATATGCTGTAGCAATACTAATAATACATCCCCTCAATTACAAAACATGATATTAAAAACAAGATTAAATAGTACTCCTTCCGTCCCATAATCATTGTCCAGTTTGAGTTTTCATTTTTAGTTCAAATTGTACTAAAAATAAAATCTCAAACTGGACAAATAATTTTGGGACAGAAGAAGTATCTAAATCCAAAATCTTCTTCATCAATTGAAATGCCATCATGAATGATAATATCAATATGTTTACTGCGCGCAGAGATATTTCCTTTTGTTTTTCGTTTACATATGGTTTTCATGGTTCAACCTTTCAAAATTTTCAAACTTGTCAGCTTTCAAGGCCACACGGTAGGCGAAAGATCGATGTCATGAGCCACCACATCTTACCCAATTTATTTAACATCTTCCAAAACCTTCTAAACCATTAGTTAGTCTATAAAAAGGATCACCAACATGCCATAATTCCATACACATTTAAACTTCTCAAACATCAGTTTTAATTTGCTCTCTCCCAAATCCAAGTTTTTCTCAACTCCTTCGATCGCCTTAATCAATTTCCAAATCATCACCAGCAGCATATATCAATGGAAAAACACACAGTGTTCAACACAAGCGAGACTTCATGGGCGGATCAATGGGATCCGGAACCCGCTTACGGTAACGGGTATTACAGCAACAAGAACAACGGCAGCAGCAAGACTGCCAAAATCTCAAGCAAAGCCAGTGAGACATTTGATAAAACGAAAGCGGTTGCTTCCACGGGGGCGAAGAAAATCAAAGAAGGAACCCGTGCGGGATTTCACTGGATCAAAGAAAAGTACCAAAAAACTACCCAAAAGCATTAACTATGGTAATTAGTTATGCTAGGTTGGTTAATGGTGTTTTTTTTTACCATGACTTATGAAACATGATCATGAGCTTGCATGCATGATTGCATGGATCTTCATGATGTGTTTAATCCGTTTTTCTATGGTTTAATTAGCACCTTGGTTGTACGGTACGTATCTAATTAATTAAACTCTAGATTTACCAATTATTATTAGTTTTATTCCTTGGTTTGATTTTATATAGATTGGAGTATGATGTTTTGTACAATGTATAAACCATATGAGTTGTTTTATTAGTATAGTATTTGTGGTGCAGTTGAATTCATTCATTTATTTATTTTTTAATTAGTACATGAAATTTCAAACCCCCTTGTTCGTGCGACATTTGTTACGTGCTTGCTTATCGGCCGTCATGTGATAAAAAAAGTCGTATTTATTCTTCTCATACAGTTTCAGCGCATATTTTTCTTGTTACCGAATACTTTGACGCAACACAAGAATAGTAGGGAGAATGTTATAATGGATTAGTTGAATTGGGGGTGGATTAAAATAGAGCCGACTTAATGGACAAAAAGGGGAACCAATTCTAAACACAAAAGGGAAGTTGTTCCGATCCGTCCAACACCGACTTTTCCAACCCCCAACGAAGAAGAAATGTTAATCCGACGCGTTTGACACGTTATCGAAAATCATCATCCATTACGGACAACCCACATTTAATAATGAAATAATCTCGTGATGTTGTAAAATTTCTAATTAATTACAGGTGTACTGGTTAAAATATCTTTCGTATTAATGGTGAGAACAAAGACCACCATAATTTTTGGGTCCATAATAAGTGGATATATTGCATTAGTTAATCATGCCCTGGTGATTTTTTTTTTATCTTTGTTTTTCATTTATGAGTAATACTATTGTATAAGAAAATTACTTAAAATCATAATAGAAAATTGTTGGATTATGTTTTACCAAATACTCCTATATTTGTTGAAAGGTAAAAAAGAGAAAGAACCCAGTCAAGCCATCCCACATAAGCAAATGGCAGCTGAGAGAACAATTTTTTTTTAATTTTTAGTTTTTTTTTTTGGAACAATTTTTACTCTTCAAGCTCTATAATAACAAAAAATCCTCATATGTATTAACTACCACAAAGCAGAAAAGTTTATTAAAAGTAACATTCAATATCCAGACGTATTGCCCAAATAACTACTCTTTCGTCTGCTTGCAGGCAACTAAGATTTGTAATAAGCCGAATATTGATATAGATGTGCAATTAATGGATTTTGAAAAAAAAACTTTGCCATCCCAGAAAGAACCTGTATGACTCTATCCATAAAATGGTTTCAGATTCCGATTGTATGTACCCAAAAAAAATAATAATAATAATAATAATTCCTGGTCCCAAAAAAGAAAATGCCTAAATCCACCTATACGCGTTCAGAATAACCAACCCATTGATATGTTTGTTGTTTAGAACCTTACCAAACATCCCCCAAATCAGCAGCCTATAAAAACAACCCATCTGGCCCAGAGAATTCAGAAAAGTCATCCTTAACAACGCCGCAACTTCTTCTTCTTCTTCTTCTGCTCAATCCTCTTACGTGGTTTCATCTCACAAAAACTCTGTTTCTCCTCTGGTTTTTTTTTTTCTTTTTTTGGTTCTAAATCGATCAGATTTATAGATAAGGAAAGTCCATGGCGTCAAAAGGTTCGACGTTCGAGAATACATGGGCAGATCAGTGGGATTCGGAGCCGGCGTACGAATATAACACCACCACCAACAAGGACTCGGGTAGTGCTAAATCTTCTTCCAAATTCTCCGTTAAAATCGGAGGCACAGTTGATAAGACCAAAGCCGTGGCTTCCACCGGGGTGAAGAAAGTTAAGAGCGGAGCCTCCGCCGGCGTTAACTGGATCAAAGACAAGCTCCCCAGCAAATCCAAGAAATGAAAACAAGATCGTCGATGGATCGATCTCAATTTTCCGATTGATTTTTTTCCATGTGTTTGATATATACATAAGTAGATTCTGTACGAGATTTTATGATGGGTTTTGTGTTGATCAGTTATATATGTACATATCCCAAATTTCAATAACACAGCGTGATTGTTTTACTACTTTATTCATCTCACAAATCTCTGTTGCATCTATCTTTCGAATTTCTTTCCCTCTTAATTAATTCGATCGGTTTAAGGATTGAAAATAAATCTAGGAATCTCCATCTGGGTTTATAAGATTAATGGTTACAAAAAGGGAGAAAGATGTCGATTAATATTCTGTTTCTTGTGTGTAGCTTTACGTGCGGCGGTGAAATGGCATAAGTCGATAAAGTCGACCTGCAGTCCCAAACAAGGGAAAGCCAAAAAAAATAAAAAAAAATTGATGGTTTTTCTTGTGCTGCTTCCGAAAACATTCAAATTTGGGTATTGGCCTATTGGGAGTGCTGCTGCTCTATGCTGAATTTTGACATATATACTAGTGTATATCTGTATATACGAATTAGTAGTTCATAATTTGTTCCGCCACTGGTGACCTTATACCCTTCTAGATAGAAATCAATTAGGTCAACCCACCAAATCAGTTTTCTATCACATAGTGATACTAGTATTACTATAATTCAACTATCAAGCCGTCTCACATTGACTGGTCAATCTTATAGTCCTCCTCCATTAAGTAAATTAGCCTTTTGCTACATTTCAAAAACACACGTACACAGCAGAGATATGTAAACATGATATCTCCAATCATAGCCATTTTTTTTTCAGGGTTTTGTTTGAATTATATGATTCTCGAACATTTAGACTCGTGATGCCTTTCATATAATTTCTCATATTTTTAACACCTATTCCAAACTCTTACATTCATTCGTCAATTCTTCAACCCACTTTTATACATATTTAGTATTCCCTCTGTCCCAAAATTATTATCTAGTTTGAGATTTCACTTTTAGTACAATTTGAACTAGAAATGAAAACTTAAACTGGACAATAATTTATGGGACGGAGGGAGTACTTCTTTTGTCCCAATACGAGTGGCCAGTTTGAATTTTTTATTTTTAATATAATTCACACTTTAAAACTAAAATCACAAACTACAGATGATTAATATTTCGCATGTAAGACCGTGTTCTTATTTATATGTAGGGTTGTCATGTGATGATGTCATTATGAATGCTCGTTATTAACAAATAAAATATCACATAACCAAAAACAAAAAATTTAAGATCAAAGGAAACCCACTTTTAATATGTGTTCTCTTGTCCAAAAAAAAATATATTAATAATTCACATCATAATTTGTACTTTCCCTATCCTAAAATTATTGAACTAAAAGTGAAATCTAAAATTGGACAATAATTATGGAACTGAAGGAGTAATTCGTGTTAAAAATGATACGAATCATAAGTTGTAAAGTGAACTATTTTTTCGAGTACCATCAATTTGAATTTATCGGCAAAAAGCAACAATCCCAAAATTAAACAACTTTTAAGGTTTTATTTTTAATTAGATTAACATACTAAATAAAGTTTACATAAAATCAAAATACTTTATAATGGAGCCCGAAGGCATATTTCTTAGCAAAACTACATATTATAGAGAATTTTATTCTGGTGTAATTCTTCCTGGATTAGAATTTCGATGCTTCTAGCTAGTATCATAGAATGTTCACTTCCATTTATAAGTGTGGACCAAAATCCACCATGACAGATATACATTGCGAATAAATTGGTGAGAAACTAATGGCTGCTAACCCCCCCCCCCCCCCTCCCAAACCCAAAAAAAACAAGAAGTCCTTAATTTCCCTTGGGGTTTCCTCCCTCTATAAATATCAACCCAATAACCACTCAAACGAGCCCTTTCGGAATTTACCAAGTAAGGCTTAAAGCCAGCTTTTTCTTGTGTCTTTTTCCTCCTTTTTTTTTTTTTTTTTTAACCCCCTCTCTCTCAAGAAAAAGTTGTGTTTCTCCATCAACTTTTTTCTTGAGGTGAAAAAACCAGGTTAATATCAATTAACAAAAAATAAAAAAATTTTAAAAAATGTCCAGCGTAGACTTGCCGGAGAATCCATGGTCGGTTGTGGACGAGAAAAAGGCCGCAAAAACTCCTTCCCGGCAGCCGAAACGGCTAGGTGATCCGTCACCGAAGCTCTCAAGAAAAGTCAGCGAGAAATTTGAGAGAACGAAGGAGGTGGCTTCGGCAGGGATGAAGAAGGTCAAGGATGGAGCCTCAACCGGCATACATTGGATGAAGCTCAAATATAATCAGACCAAACTTTCTAAGAAATGATGAAGACAATTCTATGTTTTCATCCATCAACCAAAAATAAATAAATAAATAAAAAAGATAGATGCTTAGCCTTTTTAATTAATTGCTTTAGTTTTTCCTACATGCACATGCATTTCCTTGTCTCTTTTCTTCAAATTGTGTGTGGGTGTTTGTGTAATATAAATTCCTGTTCAATGTTTTTATTATGATCTGTGTTACTTTTTTGGTATTTTTGTTCCATGATATTTTTGTTTGATCGTTCATTTCAAAATTTTCAATCGGGCAAACTCGAATTTGGGTCTATGAAATATCTTGACTGCAAGAAGACATTTGATATAAGTATTTCTGTTAATATATATATCCATTAATATATATATATATATATATATATATATATACACACCAAAAGCCAGATTCTGTAAATCCCAGCAGCATATATATAAACCATAATCAAAATCGCCATCCATTTGGAAATTGGAATTAGTCATTTTGGGTTGCCCATCTGTCAATGGCATTGATTCTTTTAAATTAATTAATATATTGAGGAGGCGTGGAATTAATAAGTTCGTTAGAGGACAAGAAAAAAAGTCAAAGGAAGACGTTTGCTTTGTACCGTACCGTCCCAAAAGAAAATATAGAAGCGCTTCCATTTAGCAAATATTAATGGAATATACGGCTTTTGTATCCGGGTTGCTAATTGTTATCCCATCAGAAATCTTTCTGATTTTGCATTAGCAAAATTCAGCTCGACGAAGTAAAACTGGAATACGGATTTTCTTACCGGGTTGCTGATGTTATCAATAAGAAATTTTGGATTGTCGAGTTAATAATAATTACATACCTAAGTTCCAAATAAATTATCCACATCAAATTTGAAATTTGTATTGTTTTTAGGACAACTTTTCAGACATCATTGTAATATTTCAAGATAGTCTGAGCAAGACGTGTAATATTTCTTACATTTTCAATGTTTGATATGATCATTTCCGAAGTTCTCCATTGCTTGTTAAACTGTTTAATGATACCTCTCAAAAGGTTTTTTTTTTTTTTTATATTTGCAGGGTGTCCACCGTCGGCAATAATGACTATTCTCCCTTGCTGAATTGTAGGCACCTCAATGGGTGAGATAGCTAGACAAAGTATTTAAGGTTACTCCATGTCCATGGCGAGATTTGAACCCTCGACCTATAGTTAAGGGTGGAGAAATCCTTTCTACTCCATCACAACCACTTTGGTTAGACCTCCCAAAAGTTAGCCAGGCGTTCAATTGCAGGCGTTCGATTGCGATTCCTTTCATATAATAAGGGGGGCTGGTTGCGTTACATAAATTTGTTGCCAAGAAAAGTGATTCCTCTTAATTTAAATTTTTGTAGTAGGTTATAATATTTATAAATAAATACATTTTGGAAAAGATAGAAATTATTAAAAGATAAATTTTGTATTATGTATTGTGAGTGACATAATAATAATTCTATGTGCCGATTAATTTTAATGCCCAACAAAGTTCAAAGCATCCTAAAACGAATTGTTTGAGTTTATTTACGTGTTAAACTATCATTTTTTTCCTTACAAAACTTTGTTTCAATGTAACCCCTAAATATCTCAGCATTCCTCATCTATCGCCACCAAATCACCAAATATTGTTGTAGTTTTTGTTTTTTCATAAATATAAAAACAGTAAGAGAAGATCAAATGAATTTGAGCTTCCCAGGGGGAGGATGCAATGGCGTCTTCATCGGAGGAAGCGTTCGAATTCCTGATAGGGATCATTTTGTTAACATTGATGGTCGCGGTTCTCTTCAGCCTTCTATATTTAATCCTTCGAGTCATTATACAAACCTTCCTTTTGATCCGCCGTGAATGCTTCACCCGCAACAACGACAACAACAACAACGACATTGCCCTAGCGCCTGCCTGAAATTTTCATAATTTCGTGTACGTTACAATTAATCATGTTAGTAATCTTGCTATATAGTGTGGTACGTTAATTTCGTGTTTAATGTGTATGGATTTTGAATTTTATTTTTTGCTCTTTATTTTTTTGGAATTCAGTGGGCTATGATATATATAGGGGGTGGAAGAGATGAGAAAGGCACCAGGACTCCAAGGTAGGAAGAATGGAACAAATCAAGCTATTGTTTTCATGTATCCCTTTAGTTCTGTTTAGATCACCCTGCGATATGAAATGTTAGTCATGATGATCCTTATTTAAATTTTGTATCATTTCACTTGGCCTTTGTTTTTTTAACCTAAATCACTAACCACAACAAAAGATAAAAAGAAAGAGTGGTATCCACTTAATTTGTAGCTAAAACTCCTTGAATAGCCTTTGATAAATTCATTCAGTTGCGAAAAAAAAAAACAAAAATAATCATCAATTCAATGGAGCTGATTTGGTTTGCTAAGAATTATACTACTATTTCTAATAAATACTGCATTATTAGTATCCATATACAGTTAGTTATACACACTCGTGAGTTTTTTTCTTCTTTTCATTTGACAGCACCACACGCTTGAGTTGGATCATATTTGGAGTTATTATTCATCATCATCATCATCATCATCATCATCATCATCATCCGCTTCCCACCTTTTCAGAAATCAAGCTCACGTAGATTGAATGGGATTTCAGTTTTCTAGTGATGTCTGACACGATAAGCAAAACAATCTGCTCTTTTTTTTTCTATTTTGTTTGGCCTAATATAAATTGCATTAAGTACACACTACACTGTAAGTAACCATCATCAGCTTCCTACCAATTGAGAGTGTCCAAAAATGGGTCAAAATTCTTATGTTTCTGGTATCCCGGAAATCAGCCTGAGCTCCGGTTGTCGAGGGATGCCAGTTCTCGGATTCGGGACCGCAGCCGATCCTCCGGTGGATACAGAAACCACTAAACAGGCCGTATTCCAAGCAATTGAGTTTGGATACCGGCATTTCGACACGGCTGCTCTGTACAATTCAGAACAACCTCTTGGGGAAGCCATATCTGAAGCAATTAAACGAGGATTGATCAAATCCCGGCAAGAGCTTTTCGTTACATCCAAGCTATGGTGCAGTGATGCTCACAAAGAACACGTTGTTCCAGCTTTGCGGAAAACACTTGAGTAATTTGCCTAAGCCAGCCTTTTTGTACAGTAATTGGAAACATCTATTCTTTGTATCATTTGGGTTAACGGGTTAATCTAGTTTTTAATTTTTGTTCATTTGATGTAGAAATCTGAAGATGGATTACGTTGATCTTTATCTTATACACTGGCCTGTGAGTTCTAAGCCTGGGACTTATGAGTACCCTATAAAGAAACATGATTTTCTGCCTATGGATTTTAAGTCTGTCTGGGGAGCCATGGAAGAATGTCAATTACTTGGACTAACCAAATCTATAGGAGTTAGCAACTTTAGTGTCAAGAAGCTCAAAGATGTTCTCGCCAATGCCACAATTCCCCCGGCTGTGAACCAAGTGAGTTTCTCTCCATTTTGTGTTCTTGCAGGGTATAATTAATGATTGTTTGCTAGTGAAGTATGAAGAGCAAAGAACGTAATGAAAGTAATTTGTTTGATTGGTTAGGTTGAAGTGAACCCATGTTGGCAGCAGAAGAAAATGATGCATTTCTGCAAGGCAAATGGGATTACATTGGTAGCTTATTCTCCCTTGGGAGCTTATGGAACATTCTATGGCACCAACAGAGTCATGGAATCCGATGTTTTAAAGGAGATAGCACAAGCCAGAGGGAAGACTGTTGCTCAGGTATCATTTAATTACCATGCATCTTGAATCATATGGCTTATTCTATCTCAAACTCCTTCCACCTCAAAGCAATAAGTTCTGTTGTTTGGATCTAAGTAAAACACGGAACATAAAACTACTATTTTGGGATGATGAATTGGTTGAGTTAAATTTGTGTAGGTTTCTCTGAGATGGGCATATGAGCAAGGCATTGGAGTGGTGGTGAAAAGTTTCAATAAGGACCGGATGAAACAGAACCTTGAGATATTTAATTGGAAGCTAGAGGATGAGGAAAATATGAAGATTAATGAGATCCCGCAAGAAAGAGCTTGTCTTGGAACCGATTACACATCAGTTCATGGACCTTACACTTCAATCCAGGAGCTTTGGGATGATGAATAATAATTATTCGCATTTTATCACTACTGCATTGTCTTTTAACAAAAAAAAAAAAACTACTGCATTGTCTACAAAGAGGATACAGTACCAACATTTATGCACCTGTTTCTGGTCCAACTCCAATCCTTGGATGAATTTAATCGGAAATGTTACATTCTATCCAAGCCAAATAATATGGATGCAGTTGAATGAAACCCCACCAGTTTCTGACTTTTAGTTATCAGGTTCATCAATATTAACTAAAGAAAAACAAAGACAAAGCCACTTTGATGCTGGGGAAGTGATTACTATAGCCATTACACTGTTGAAAACTACAACATATCACGGAGAAATTATTATGTACAAGAAGCCGATCTCTCAGTAACAAACTGAGAGCGCAGCAAAGAGTGTGTTTTACAAGACTACGAGAATGAGTGTGCTCGAGCATTGAAGGAAAGCATCTTTGACGAAGACAACCACATACAAAGCTCATGATGATACACACTAGAACTCCAAGCTAACAACCGTTTGGCCTCTCATAAGTTGGAGGCAAGGAAGGACAATTCTCATTCATGTGAGCATATGGCTCTAAAGTGTTGTAGTGAGGCAACTCCATTCGGTACTCGCCAAGAATCTGGCAGAAAGGGAGATTTTCATCCTCATTGTTGCACCAATTTGGAAGACGGGTCTTATTATTTTCAAAAATTTTGAGCATGTAGGCATCTCGAATCTGCAGAAGGCGGGATATTTAATCATGACTCTTGGTGTGGCAAAGACACTTCATAATGTAAAAAAGTAGGACAGCCAAACAAAAACACTCACCGTGAATTCTGTCACTTGAATAGACTCGGCCACATGACCGAAGACTCCAGCTTCCTTATACATGGCCAAAATAAAAGCAACGCAAGTTGTAGATTTCCCATCACTGTAAATCCATTCATCTTGCTCTGGAATGGTAAGCAGCTGGTCGAAGGTTAATCCACGCTTTTCAGTCTCAGTTAGAATCTCATACAAGTCTAGACCCTGCCAGGGAAAAACCAAAATAGTCGGATTTCACGTGTATCGACCCTCAACAACAAAGACTAATGTTCTACTAACAGTTCATGAGTATAGAACTTTCTTCCTTGCACAGTGCATTATGCCAATATCCAGCTAATTTTCTATATTTCATTTGTCAAATTTAAAGTTCTTAATACAAGATTCGTGGGTATATGACTATTTACCAACACCTTCACACAAGGGAATTTCACATTCAGCATTCTTAAACTTATCCGATGCACATTTAGCTGATCTCGGTTACAGCTAATCTACCCATTTTCAGTGGTTCCAGCAAATTATCAGTCTTGAGTTCTACAACAATTTAAGGCTAAAGAATTGGGATTTTTAAAAAAATCACAAAAGCAAGGAAACAGACACATTATTTTCTTTGCAGTACTCCCACAAAAAACCTAAAGAGTCGGATAAAATACTACACAGATGCCGAAACATCACCCACCTCTGTTTCAAGACGCTTATTCAGTGCTTCATTCCACATGTTTGCTGCATAAGATGGCTGCACTCTAGTCCACATAGACATTAGAGAAATAACCTGCATAGAGCATTTTGTAAGGAACCTATCTCAGTCTCCTAAACCTTTAACAAGACTAAAAAACAAATCCACACGCAGAGAGGGCGAGGAGTCACTAAAATACATAACCACACACAAGTGTCTCCTAGCAGTAACCTCATAGCATCCTTAAAAGCATTACAAAAATCCTCAGTAAGCTCATTATATCCCCAAAAGCATGAAAATACCGCCAACGGGGTTTCACAGTTACTATAATCCCAGATGGTTTTGATGAACAGATGAGAATATAAAATAACAGTATAGTTTACTTCCAGTAGGGATAATGAATACAACAGAAACATTGATAGAACAAAGTTTCATTGAAGTATGAGGACAAGAAAAATATGCAATTAGATACACATGGATGCAAAATGTCATGGAACCAAGTAAGATGATCCTCAGTTCACCGCCAAAAACCAGCAATTCTACTTCCATAACCAAGCTCACAAATCCCAGGCAAAACAGCTTTGAAGAGAAGTGTTTCAGAAAACAAAGGTTACATGATCAAAACTCTTGTTGAGCATTCTAATATGTCCAGACCACAGGACTCAACAATCTTCGCAAACTTGAAAACATTTCAGTAAAATGATCGCAGTATGAAGAAAATGAGAAAGAAAAAGAAATGAAGCGACTTGAAAAAGTATGCATACCAAGTGAGCATCAAGTGGTGGAGGGAAGTTGTCAGTCACAGTATCAATCCAACTAAAAATCATGTTGTGATACCCATATGGCTTCCCAGACATTCTTTGTACATAATCCCATGCAGCAGAAGAATTGAATCTGGCACGAATATCTGGATGCAAGGGTAGCAATGCTATTTGAGGATTAGACTCATCCTTAAGAGCCGATTCCCACCATTCATCCCATGGGACAACAGCAATAATTTCTTCACCCTGCAACATGTTGAATAATGAGATCAAACTAGACCATACAAACAAATCAACTGAAGGACACTTATGTTCCCCATTAATCCCCAGTAATCTTACAAGACAATTGGTGGCCTAAACCTCTTAATGGTGCCTTATGATACATAATGCAGTCTGGCAATGTAAAATTCACGTTCGTATATAGCTTGTTCACTGTTCATCCCCCGCCCAAAAGAAAGAGTAATATAGAAAGAGCACCTTTTCATTCTCATATCCTGACTCTGCAACCCAAAGATCACCCAGTTCATCTTTTAAACAAACAGCTGTATGGCCAGCAAAAGCACCTGTGACCCACTTCTCAAGTGTTTCAAATCCGCCCCATCGACCACGAATCTTTGACAAAGCTAAAAAGTCACCGGAATGAACATCAACTGGATTTATTGTTGTAATCCACGGCTGCGGACGTGTCTCAAATGTTGCACCCATGTGTTTCTTAAGAAATTCTAGGTTCGCTTTCTGACCCCATGCCGTGTTAGAGAAAAGAGGCAACACATCAACCATTGAGAGCAATGTTCCAAGCATTCCTGAAGGCATGAGAAACACAGAAATCCCATGCTGCCTTACCTGCTCAGTTACCAATCAAAGTCAATTATACACTATATTGTCAGATATAATACAAACTTGTTCCACAGAGAGGGGCAAAAAGAACACACGTACATATTCTTCTTCAGCAGGCTCCTCCCATGATTCTATCCTCAAGGTATGGTCCCGTGCTGAAAAGTAGTAATCCCATGTAACCCGGTAAGGTGTGGCAAACACATAGAGGTCCATACATGTCCAGCTGTGAGCTGCACTAGTCTGCAAATGAAGAAAGGAGGCAAACTTACAAACCAAGAGACGAAGATAGTCCCGAAAGCCATTATCTTCCCAGTCTTTAACAAACAAACAGGAACATTTTTCCTGGCTCGTTAAGCTGAACCATCTATAGTTATTCTTCAGTTTCCAGATTAGATTTACCGTTTTCAGAAAACAAGACTTCCAACAACTAACGCGCAATTTTATATCCTCCCGTACAAAAAAGACTGATTCTAGGCCAAAAGTGCGAATAAATTATGACCAAAGGGGAAAGTTCACTGTGTTGACCCTATGAAAAATATCCTAAATCTCAGTTTTTGCAAGCATTCTCAACAACTAAATTAAACATCTTCAAACGGGCCAGAGTTTAAACAATTAATTGGCTAAGAAAGCATATTATTTCTTCTAAAATTACAAAAATCTTAACAAAAACATACCGAGAGATAAATAACGGCTCCACCGATACCGCGATCCCCAGCAGCAGTTAGCTCAACCCGACCCGAATTATCCAAGAAGCAAGCCCCTTTCCAGTCAATTGAGCCGTTGTGGGGAGTGAGGGACCCAATATAGGACGGCAACAAATCCACGGCACTGTGGAGATTGTTCATGACCGGCCATGAAATTTGACGTGGAAGCACCGGAAGAACATCCTTGACTCTGAAGGGCACCTTGAAGGCATCTCCAACTCCTACCCCAAATATTAACCCTAGAAAAAATAAAAATCTGACTATGTACAATTTCCGAAACATGATCACGGTGATTGTGATCAATGATTGAAGAAAAATAACCGGAATACCGGGAATTAGGTTTTCAATAAAAAGGGGAAGTAGGGTTCTGGGTCATTCTACGTGGAAATTTGGGGATAAGGGATAATCAGGAATTAGGGGTTAGAAGGTGGAGATTTGAGAGCGAGCTAAGATGCGCGTTTGTAGAAGAAGACTGTGACTAATCAAACCAATGATCAAAATCAAGAATCAGGTGTTAAAAGGGCTCTCTTTTTTCTTTTTTTCTTTTTTTCCATCAAAAATTAACTTTAGTAGAATACATTTCCCCCTTTTTACAATTTCCGACGCTGGGAGAAAACGTTTTCAACCTAAGAGTTGGTTCTTTTTTCTTTTTTTCTTAACAAGATCCAATAATAAATTGATATCAAAACAGAAATAATCCCGTCTTAATTCGTTTGTGGTGTCACAAAAAATTATTTTTCATTGAAAAAGTTTGATAACTCATTGAAACACATAGTTTTTATTTTCTCATATTTTCAAAATATTACTTTCCAAAATGTTCTTAATAAAACACGCCATGAACAAATTAGTTGTTCACCTGACTTGCATTCGGTTTATTTATTTATTTTTAATAGCATAATGGTTTAATCACATGCATTTTGCTTTAATAAATATTTTATGATCAAACAAAGGAGTAATCAATAGAAAAAATGATTTCTTCAAATTGTCTGTCATTAGTATTTTTCCCGTTTCAAAATAAGTGTTTTTCTTAATCAAAATTGAGAAATTTCAAAATAAGTATGATTCCAATATATTTTTTGTCCAAAATTTTAAACTCTCGAAAGAAATACTCTTTATGTCCCAAAATTATTGTCCAGTTTGTGATTTCACTTTTAGTATAATTTGAATTATAAATGAAAATCCAAACTGGACAATAATTATGGGACGGAAGGAGTAGTTTTATTGCCAAACATTTATTTTAATGTAGTTGGTTGAGGATATTCTAATAATTTACCTAACTTATTTAAGTGTGTTTTAAACTATGTGCAAACCGTAGAATGATATTTATTTTGAGAGGGACTGTTAACAATTACAAATCCGAACAAAGTGTATCAAATTATGTCGTGTAAATAACATCACCACAGGAATACCTAATTTAAGGCGGTACGTAAAGAACTTATCGATGACTTCCAAAATGCACTCAAAATGTACCATTTTTCCCGGAATGCATACGATTCTTCTAGGCCTTTTCAAAGCCGTCCAAAACATCGTCTTCATCTGCAGATGTTTTCCATATAGGAGAATAAGGAGATGATTATTTCTTCATTTCTTGGGGCGACTTCGCTGGGACATTTGGATCTTAGGAGTTAGTTCTATAAGTGAATGGGCCGGTGTTGGTTTTGTGGCTGCTGATATCTTGGGAGGATGAACAGAATGTCAGGGAGTGGGTACGGGCTTTGGTGATAATTTGGGCTTCTTTAGATAAGGAGGTTGTTTCATTAGGATTGTGTTTCTGATACTTAGGTGGGTGAATAAGAGGTGGATATTTGGGCTTTGATAGGTACTGTTGGTGCCAGATGTGGAGTGTTGTTCTTGTTTGGGCTTTAATAGGTACCGTTGGTACCAGATGTGGAGTGTTGTTCTTGTGGGCTGGACAATATTGTGTATGCTGATCACATGGTGAGAATCTGTAGCCAGTTCAGACAATGCTGTCTGAAACAAAATCGTGGTAAGAAGAAGAACCCATGAAGCTGTTAATAAGATGAAGCCACTTCAAATCTTTCCCATTTTGGTTGTGCTCTTTTATAAATTGATTACTGGTTTTTCTTTTTTTTTACAATAACGGAGGTAAATGCCTAAGATGTACGTTTTTAGAATAAATTACCCTTATTACATCATGTTCTAGCCATGATAATACACCACAGAATGGTCTATCCAACCATTGTAAACGTTCCGACACTGAACCGCCAAAGAAACCAAATAATCAGCCGTGAAATTAGCTTCCCGATATATATGATTAAGTTCTACCTCCCAATCTCGAGCTAACAACTCACGAATTCCATAAATTAAACCAGTATGAATACCCAACACTACATCAGTCCCCTTTGCCATTGTAATGATACTACTATTATTAAATTCGACTGCTACTTTTCGCCAACCAAGCTCCTACGCTAAAGTTAGGGATTGAAATAAACCCCTCAACTCAGCTCCGGTGATAGTACAATAGCCAATATTGGTCGTAAACCCTCCCAACCATCTACTGACACAATCCCTAGCCACCCCTCCAGCTGTAGCCATGCCCGTTGTCCGATTAGAACTCCCATCAGAGTTGATTTTTAACCACCTTCAGGCCGGAGGCAACCAGCTAATCATCAACGACTTCCATCCCATGAAAGTCCCCCCCTTAAGAGTTTGTCGCTCAACGAACTACTAGAATATGTGTGTTCAACGAAATACTAGAATTATAGGTTTTGGGAATGAGAGAAGCTTTAAGCATTTTTTGTTACGTTTGTATTCAACGTGTTTCCCTCAAACTATGAATGTATGTAGGATTACTAAAGTAGCGGTTAGGAAAGAGCATACAGTAACGTATGTCTATGTGACATATCTTACTATATCGTACCGATTAATGGTGCCTAAAAAAAATAAAAAATAAAGTGAAGTAAACTATCAATTTTTTGGCTTCTTAAAGAGTGTCTCCTTCCAGGCAGTCGTTCATCATTTTCATGGATTAGAGTTTTGGCTCTGTAAACCCTCCAAGTTAATGTTATACTAATCTTACAACAACATTCCAAAGAAATAGTGATAGTTCCAGTGAAATACTTCATTTGTTTGAAAGAAATCGTCCACTTTATTAAATTAGAACATATTGTACATTAAATTGAACTATTTTTGTGAAATATAAGGAGTATGATAATAGCTGATCACATTTTTTTTTAACCTCAATATCGCACCTATTAACTAGTAGTAAGAGCGTGTATTTAACAAATTTTACCACAGTGAACTTTTCTTTCAATTTTTTTGGTTACTCATCCGTGCTGTGACTCATCTATCCTGATTTTTTTTTTTTTTTCTAAAAGAAAAAAGTTGTGTTTGTTGGAATATCAAGATTTGCACTCCCAACGGCAAATACAACATTTAATTAACAATTCATTTCACAACAACTGGGATAGTTTGATAAACATGTTTGTTAGTTGTCACTGTGGATATGGAACGAATTGTGCCATTAACTTTTTTTTTTTATACACAACACCGAACCACACGCTGACTTCTTTTGGTTATGTTTTGTTTCTTCATCGTTGACCTCTTTCGTTGACCACCGCCGGCTACCTTAAACCTATAGAAATGCAGACTAGTTAAAAATAATACGAAAACTAGCACCCAAAAAAAATAATAATAACAATAATAATACGAAAACGAAAACATGTAAACGGTATAAACTGCGTGGAATTGGTCACATATATTTATGGGGACAAATTGTTCAACTTAATTGACTGACTTTTTCCATCTAAGAAAATGCCATTGACTTGAATCGTATTTGATGATGATCAACTTGTCAATTTTACTGGACTCTTCTTCTTTCACCATCAGAGTTTTTGAAAATTTGTGGAAGTGATCGTTTCGAACAAAAGGAAGAAATTGAAAAAGCGAGAAGAAGGGAAAGAAGAAAAAACAAAAATAAAAAATTCATTTCTGCAACTTTCAGGTGGAAATAATTTAATCTGTCTCAATTTCCAAGCACTATTTCTTCATCACCGAAAAATCTTTATACTATCTCAAGCCGGAAATGATTATTTTTGTTTATTAAATTATTACTTTAATATTACAGATAGAACACACGTATTCATCAGGGTTAGAAGAAGATATGGCACAAGAAATTCAAAAATGTTAATGTTAACCATTGAACAAAAACTGCTTGTTTTATAATAAGGGATTCGGCATGAAACTGCTACCCGGAAATAATAATCATTTACGCTATATAAACAATATAAATTTAAGCAGTTATTTAAACTAATTGCAAAGACTTAACACCAGTTAGTCAGTCCCAAATTTTAGAAATAAACTGTTTTTCATTAATGTGATTTAATAATGTTAGTTCACTGAAAGCTACAATGACAGGGTTTTTCTCCTTATTCTTTTTATTTTCCCCCTCCTGACCTTCGGTGTTATTAGAATGTAGACAAATGCGATATTAACCACAACCCAAGTTTTGGTGGTGCTAATAGGATAGCTCTTTTGATCCTAAAGTAAAACTGTGAAAACTTAAAATCACTTGTCTAAACAGTAAAAAAGATTAATGAAAAATGACATAAAGGAGGAAATACTTTTTAGGGTCAATTTTATCAGTATAAATAAATTATTGCCAGGAAAAAAAAACATATGAATATATGAGAGGTGTGCAAAGAAAATCAACCAAAAATAGGGGGGGGAAATGGCATGAAAAAAAAAAAAACACGCAGACACGCAGAGAAGCTGCGTTTCCCAGGTAGCGGGCAAAGAGGCAAAGTGGTGATGGGAAAAAGCTGCAAAAACACAAAAGCAGTAAAAGGAGGGAATAGCATTAGTCATATCCGACTACTCGATTTGGTGGTAGTCATCCAGTTTTGAACGTGAAGTATTGAATTTTGGAGGATTTTGGGTGATCGATGATTCTGATTCTGACTACGACAAAAAATCAAAAACGTTAACCAAACTTAATAAAAAAAAAAAAAAAAAGCAAACCAAAGGTTAAAAAGAAAAAAAAGATCAACCTAGGGAAATACAAATCTGAGGGGGTGGTGTGGCAATCTCATGAGATATGATTTGTAGTTGTCCGAGATATTGAAAAATCACCCCTCCGCAAAAGTCCAAAAGTGCCTTCATTTCAATTCTTAGAGAGAAAAAGAAAAAGAGGCAGCTGATTTGTGTGTGTGTGTGTGTGCAGCTTGCTGGGCCCCTCCTAAAGATTTGCTTGCCCCCTCCCCAAATCTTCCCTTCTTTATTTACTCTCCTGTCCTTTTTTCTTTCTTGCCCTTTCTCTCTCCCATCACATCTTTCACCACCATTACTTAATTACTCTTAATACTAGTACTACATATATTATTAGAATTAAATTTGTAACCAAACATAATTATATATTCTCTCCGTCCCAAAATTATTGTCCTATTTATATTTTCATTTTCAATTCAAATTGTACTAAGAGTGAGACCTCAAACTGAACAATAATTTTAATACAGACTATATCACTCGATTTATTCGACGATTTTAGATGGAGTCGTATAGATATATCTGAGCTGTTATTTCTTAAATCAGAAACTATCAAGAACTTTATATCCAAATGTACAACCGTTTAACTTATAAACTACTAGTGTAATTTGATATTTATACCGTCTTTTTTAGATGGACGGAATAATTGATATTATAGTTTCTTGACAAAAAAATATTGACACATTAGTCAATGAGCTTTAAAAAAAAAAAATTATAAAGTTGGGGTTTTAAAATAAATTTACCCACCGATTCTTAACTTGAGGAATACTGCATCTTCTTCACTGGGTTGTGTTTTGTCATCCTGATCAGTTTCTCCTAAAAGAAAAAGTCACAAAATCCCAACCAATTTTTCTTTGGGAATCATGTAAGAAGATTCACCCCTCATTATACATTGACAATTCAACGCCCATTGCTACTAACCTGTCTTCTGGAGAAACGTGTGCTTTTCTTTTCTCTTACTACCACTTTGACTTCAACACTCAATCAAACCTTTAAGAAATTATTATTGGGGCCGAATTCAACTGATTTTCAATACTTTTTAATCACGAAACGGAAAGAATCAATATATAAATCATTAAAAAGTTGTAAAGCAATATTAACTGTATAAATTAACTGATTTATTCCGTTTATCACATTTTTAACCATGGAGTTTTTTTTAGTATTATTATGCATATGATACGTCATACCTGTATCAAGTTGCTGTATATATTCAGCGAGGGGGGTTAAAATATGCAATAAAAAAAAATTCCTGTATATATTCATTCAAATACTAGCCAGATAAAAACTTCTTTCACCTAAGAAGCAGAACTCATCGTATGTTCTTATCAAGATTTAAACAATCGTATTCCTGCATTTTATTATCTAAAACTTGATTAACCAACAGAAGAATAGTGTATACCATCTCAATTATGGGGAACAGAGTTAATAAGAATCACACAAAAATAAAAGTTGGTAAAACTAGTGAAATTAAAGGGGCATTTCCAGGTTATCTTCTCTGCATGTGGAAAGGAAGAGGAAGGAAGCTGTTGTTGTCAGGAGACGGAAAGACAGTACATACGGCATTTTACTTGATGATCTTTCTTTTCAGTTCATTTTCTTTATTTTCTCGATCGTTGAATTTTATTTCTAAATAGAAAAAAAATAATAATATTTGGCTGAATTTATAAAACTTAAGTCAGAAGGCATTGTCATGTAGATCGCGATAGAAGATTTTTATCACCTATTCACACGTCTTTCTTCAAGAATCCGAGAAAATCAATGGTGTGTATAAATACAAAATTAACCTACCGTTAGTTTTATTTTTTGTATGTATGTCTTCCAAGGATAACAAGGAACATTCGTGTGTTTTCGTAATTAGTTGAAATTAAACTTGTAATTTATAGTTTGGTAGTAAAAAAGAAATTGTAATCTTGAACGCTTTAACTACTCGAGTCAACAATGGTCGCTGAACTTTTTTATTTTGCAAAGATTTTTTTCCCTTTTAATTTTGGTATCATTTTGGAGAGACTTCAAACAGCCAACAGGATACAGAAACAGAGTCATGTGAGTTGCGGTTCGACTGTACACATAACGCCAGAAACGAGAGCGTGTGAGTGGGCAAAATTGATACTATGATTTTGTTCAAATCTTTGGTTGCTTTAATTTTACACTATTATTGTACCAAAATCATACAGTAATGTATACACGCGTTTATTTTAAGGTCTTAAGAAAACACGTCGACAAGAATAACTCAATCAAGAGATCTACGAGGATGGTTCCCCGATGATGATATGGTTCTTCAGCGAATGTGCAGATTTGTCTTCAATTTTTACTACTACGCCGTTTTTTTATAAGGAAAAAAAAAATATATCACTTGTTGATATGATCACCAGTTCACCCCCAAGTCCGAAATGATATCCATTTACATGCATATCGTCACTTATTAATTAGCCATTGATTTGTGTTCACCAGTGACCAAAAAAGAAAAAAAAAAAACACAATTATTTGGATAATTTTGTTTCCCGGACAGAAACTATTCTCGTCGACTACGTATTAAAAGAAAAGTGATTTCGAACTATTATATCCGAAAATTTTAAATAGATATGCATTTTAAGAGTGTTTTCTTATATTGTAATAGAAAATAGGGTAGCAAAATTTACGACTGCCGCCTAAAATAAAATAACACTTCTTGTAATTTAGATAAGCCACATGCGAAATAAGTATTACGCGATTTATTTTTCATTCATCATTTATTTAAGTATGAAAATTTGTCGTCCTTCTAAAGTTGCTAATGCAAGTTGTTGGATTTATTTAGGATATACTATTAGTTAACTATTTATCCTTTTGGAAATGGTATGACTTAGGAGTGACTGCTTTAACGTCATTGCAAATATTTCCCACTCTCTGCAGTTGATCTACTTTATTTATTGTCTTTCTCTTGATTCCCTCTTTCTTTAATGATTCCTCTTTTTTCTTTTCTCTTTGTAGTTTTTGGCATTGTAATAAATCAATTTTTAGTGGTTAATACGTCTCTTATTGGTTCAGATTTCTTGATTAATTGATAGTTGTCGATTTCTAAAGTATACTCAGCATTACTGTTGAGATACAAAGATAAAAGATGGAGTAAAATAAATTAAGATATCGATAGCCTTTTGAGATTGGAATCACAAAAGTTGTTAAAAAAAATCCCAATTATTTTCCCAAATACAGAAAATGTCTCTTTCAACATAGGCATATAGGAGATTACTGTTTTTGCTAATTTTATTTCCACTTTTTTTAATTAAAAAGACTCATATCTTCTGAGCTTAAAAAATTCAAATAGATATTACTTGTCTTTGCATTACGATAATTTTTAATGACACGAATGAACTAAAGAAAATGCATATATATAAATTTATTATAATATGCATATTCATTAATACCATAGGGGTAGACAAACATAATCGATAATTTGCATGCGTTTTGTAACTACATAAAACAGAGATTGTTACAGAAAATTTTCACAAATCATTTTCTAAGTTTAGCAACACAAATTATAGAAGAAGAACAAATTCAGAAATCCAGAATAAAAGGCAAATAAATTGAAAGGAAAAAAAAAAGAAAAAAAAAGAAGAACAGAATGAGCCTTACAGATTTGCCATATTTGACCATGTCCGCAAATTCATAAACGTGTTTATTACCATGTCTCGTTTTTCCTGACATATTGATTTGACTACTCAAATTTCCAAGTATGACCTGCCCAGTCAACCTAATTTCACAGCAATAACTTTCAGAAACAGAGAGAATTAATTCAACTATTAAGTCACACAACACGAATAACCATGGTGCACAAATGCATATCGGTCAGTTAGAAAAGCAGCCAGGATCCCCAAACAAAAAAACTTTCATTATCTTTTTGCAGAGTTTTTTTCATCACATTTATTGTATTTTAGGTTAGTGCAGAGTATATTTGTTTCAAAACAATTAATTGTTTATGTTGAATCATAAAAACAATATAATTAACACAAATACGAGAGTGGAAAAACAGGATAAAAATCACATTCTTGGGGGCAGATATTTCTCTTGTAAGAATCAGATTTTCTTTTTTCAGGATTAGTACGTATAGTATTTGAGTAGATAATGCTGAGGATTTGGTATAACAAATGCAAATTTATCTCTTCGAATTTCGAGACAAGACGTACTTACCATATTTTTCTACTAACATAACACTGATTTCTTTCGAAAGACGAAATGAAATCCAATTTTGCCAAATCCCATTTGAAAACCAAAACAATGTACTAGTATGTATATATATTTTTTACCAAATCAAGAAGGCAGAATCCGATTTGCACAAATCAAGACCTCGTCTTTCTATCGTGCATACTAGTATTATTTACTCAGATCATGCAAAATCACTTACCTCCTGGCAGCCTTATGGTGCACCACATTTTGAGACTAGGTCATAAATGTCACATTTGATATGTGGATCATAAAAGCAAATCGCTACTTGCTGTACTTAAAATCTGATCATAAAAGATTTTTCAGATCACTTCCTTGAGAGGAAGACTTACTGCCAGCCTCAAAAGTCTAAATCCATTGAATTAAGCATTAAATTAAAGAAGGAATAGTAGTTAGTCAGCCCCAATTCTTCAATATATATATATATATATATATATATTTAAAAAAAAAATTGTCATTAGTCATTAAGCAAATCGTCTTATTTATTTTATTTTAATAAACTATTGTAAACTAACGTGACCAAGTTTTCAAAATCTCCCGAGATATTAGAGAATAGAAGAAGAAGAGGGCGAAAATCTCACGTTTTCATCATATTTTCCATTTGATGCGGGGAAATCAAATCATATCAAGCTCCCCAAAGTGGATATCAGAATCTGAGCCGTATGGCTTACAAAATATTAAAAGTAGATTTTCCCAGATTTGATTTTGAACCCTCCTCACTATATAGTCATATATTCATATACCCATGATAGGGACCCGTATCCTATGTCAGACAGACACAAAATATTTGACATTTCATTAACACCCCCAGCTTTAACTCATTTTTCTTTTGTTCATGTATATATGAGCTTTTGGTGAAGAGGGCCTCTTTTAAGTATTTTTCCAGTCTAGAGAGAAGAAGAATCAAAAGCATCTTCTTGTTCTCCCCTGTTCTCATTCTTTGTTGTTTGGCTAAAATCGATTTGGGTTTTTGGAAGACATGGCTAGAAATGGAGTTTTTTCTAGGAGGAGAAGGTTTGATAGGTTGGAAGATGGAGCAGCAGGGGATTTATCATCATCCTCATTGGAATCCCATGAGGTTCATGTTCTTGCTGTTGATGATAGTCTTGTCGATAGAAAGGTCATTGAAAAGTTGCTTAAGATCACATCTTGTAAAGGTAGAGTCTTTATATATTTCCCTTTTTGAACACAATAGCATTAGTACTCTGCAATTTGTGTGTCTGATAAAGGGGTTGTATTGTCCTTGATTCTAAATAGGATTCATTTGCAATTTTGCAGTTACAGCAGTGGATAGTGGAAGGAGAGCTCTACAATTTCTTGGATTGGATGAGGAGAAGAGCTCTGTTGGATTTGATGTAAGAAAATCGATCAGTTCTCCACAGTTTGTAATTTTTAGAATAATTCCATCATCACTTTAAAAAGGTTGAATCTTCAGTTAGTGTAGTTTGTTGATTTCTTTTTTGTTTTGTTTGGATGAATTTGGATTGCAGGGATTGAAGGTGGATTTGATTATAACAGATTACTGTATGCCTGGAATGACTGGTTACGAGCTTCTCAAAAAGATCAAGGTTGGTTCTGTCGCTCTCTGCCCTTCACAATTTTGTTTTCCTTTGTGTCTCTCCTTGTTAAGAAATGTTGGATTTCAATCTTCTAAATTAGGTAAAGGCCTAACCTGTTTGCGTCATTAGCTAATAGTTTCCCTGATTTGGTGTAAACAGGGCTCATCTACTTTCAGAGAAATTCCGGTTGTGATTATGTCATCAGAAAACGTTTTGGCCCGAATTGATAGGTATTATCCTGTTCCTTCTCATTGATTTCCGCAAATGTTTGAAACACGTTTGAGTATGCAATAAAAAAGATTAGGCTTCAGGGCAAGTTTGGAGCAACAGAGTTATAGGCTTGATTAACGTGTTCATTGCCCGTTATTTACGTTTCTTATATATTTTCAAATGAGCTTTCTTTTAATTTCGAGTATAAAACAAAGAGATAAGTTTGAATGGGGATTAATTTCGGAAAAAATTAAATACCGTGGGGCTTTTGAATAGACATTAAAGAAAGAATCATATCTTAACATACATCCCCTTTTGAAGATTCGCTTTGGTTTGTGATAATATATACTAACGACCTTCTGAATTCTTATGTTTTGATCAATGAATGGACAACCACTTTGCTTGTTTTTGAAAGCTAAAAATAAATTAAAAAAAAAATGCCCATTAGTATATGCTTCAATAGAAAACAAATTGTTAACCTATCTCTTAGGCAGTTGTGGAAGCAAAGCAAAAACTAATATTTGGGGAATCTTAAATTAATCTATTGTATTAAAAGGTCAATTGGGGGTGGCTGTTGCCCAATGCTTTTCATCGTTTTGGAATGTCAATAGAATGCATACTAGTTTTTTTAGGGATTAGGCCCTCACAATATTTGGATTTGGTAGGTGATCAAATTTTGTCAAATCACAAATTTTATTCTGGTTGTCTGCTTCCGAAGTCAATATGAGGGATTCGTGGGCAAATTTTATGTTGATTGAAATATTTTCTTCTCAAATTTGCCTTTTGAACGGTGTGTCCTAATATCTTTCTGTTATGATCATGATGACAGGTGTTTGGAAGAAGGTGCGGAAGATTTCATAGTAAAGCCAGTAAAACTGTCGGATGTTAAACGTTTGAAGGATTACATGTTTGGTGATGATGGAGTTGTTGGCAAACAAGAAAGAGGGATTTGCAAGAGAAAATTACACGAAACTTCTTGTGATGATGATGTTACAATGTCACCTTCAAAATCTCCGTTACCATCATCATCATCATCATCAGAAGATTTTTCATCAGCTTCTCCACTGCCAACAACCACCTCTTCCTCCTCCACGTCATCTTCGCCGCCATTGTCCCCGAAATCATCCTTAATGCTGCCTTCAGCAGATTCATCACCGCCTTCCTCACCCATCGCAAGGATTGAATCTCCCACAAGGAGGCTTAAAATGAGCACTGATGACCAAAGCTGATGCAAATATTATTTGATTATTCTTTTGAGAAAAATCCTCATATGTTACACTTAGGCAAGCAAGCTCAAAACTCGATCAGGACAGTAGTAGTTTTGCAAGTTATTTTGTATGGTGGCTTGCCATTTTCAGGGCCTAAAATTGGCAAAAGCCTAACACTGTTTACTTGTAGATTTTGCTTCTTTTTAACTGGCTTTGTCAGTCAATTTGGCCTCAAAATGAAAAATCCTATATCTCTCCAACTTCAACCATGTTCACACTAATCCAGATTGGATTAATCCCAATTACGCGTTAGGCAATGTTACAGTTTGAAAGTTCTTGAAGGCCATAGTTCTTGGTCATTATTGATGTGAACTGAGAGGCATTGATGAGAAATGATTTGATTCGGATACGATATTATTTTGATGTCGATTGTTGTCTGGTAAAAGGGGCATGTGGGATTCTACGGATTTGAGTTGGGACAATGTTTGTGATATTGTTCTGTGTACTAAGGCATTTTTTTTAGGGGGAAGAGAGTTGATGTGTGAGGGCCTGGAGGGTTTTAAGTTGTGGATGGACTTGTGGGGATGGATCCATGGATTCGGCTGCCGTGTCTGTCCAGTTGTTCACTCATGTGGTTTTGTCTAGTTTTTGAAACGTTGATTTGTTTGCCAAACCTAATTTTATACTCCCTCCGTCCCAAAATAATGCTCCGCATTGAGTTTTAAATTTTATACTGTTTTTAGTATAAATTTAAAAACTCAAAGTTGACTATTTTTTTGAGACGGAGGTAGTACTACGTAGTTTTCGCCACTCTGTCATACATTGTACCCATCGACCAATCAAATCCCTTCAAAATCTTCTCTTTCTCATTCCTATCATTAACCACGTTTTACAGCATGCTCCTTCTCAGAAATAGCATATTATTCTCGGATCGGATCTCTTAACATTACTTTTGTCCCCAAACAAATATTCACATTAAGTTTTTAATTTTATATTGTTTGTAATAAGAATTCCGAAACTCAGAGTTGGACTTTCTAAAACAGAAAGAATACTATAATTGTGTGTCGATGTTGGTTCTTTACTATCAATACTAAGATTTTCGGTAAATGATAAGTAAATCCAAATAATCAATCATGTTGATGCGAAAATATCATTTCTCGTAGCCTTCCAGCAACTCTTATATTGTATTTTTTTTACTACTTTTAGGTGAGGTTAAAAAAAGAGAAGGTGTTTGCTTTGTTTGGATGATAAATGATGAGCTTGCAAAAGTGAAAGGATTCTACCCATGAATGGTGCTAACCGAAAAAGGAATAAATTGAAACTGTTTCATCCAGAATTCGAATCTGAATAGGTCCTACAGACAAACGCTCTGCCTTTTGTGTGTGTGTGTGTGTGTGTGACCCAAAAAAAGGAAAAGAAAAAATAAAAGAGGTCACTTTCAGGAGTAGTAGTAGACAATAGACATAACAGTTATGAGGATTCCATATATCCTTGCTCAATGGGCATGGGGCTAATAATGAGAGACCCAGGGTTTTGTATATAGTACTCACTACTCAGAAAGGGCCGAAGGTTTGTTTCCTGCTTCTAGTTGTCATTTGGAAGAGGTTCATGCACCATACAATACCATCCCCAACTTTTTCCCCCTTTTTGAGGGGTTTTGTGAGTCGGAGTTGGGGGGCGGAATGGGGTTGGGATTGGCTCGAGTATAATATACAGTATATTGATTTTTTTTTGCGGTTATTGAATTTCAAATTATAATGTTTAAAATCATACACTCATGACATTTATCAATCGTGCCATTACATCGTTTTATTTTGAAAATGATAATCATGTTTGAAAAAAAAACCCTGTTGTGTTATTATGTCCAACTGTCTACTGGTTTTAAGTGTTTCATCCATTTTAATGTTTGGCACAAAAATAACATGATACTGCAGATCATTGGTCAAATGGCCTTCTGTGTCAAAGTATAATGAAAATATAAGGCTTGAATGTATTGGGCCATTTAAGGCCCATTTTCAGCATTTTTCGATGTAGGACTAGGATGTTTTTGAAGTCTCCATGTCAAAGTTGACCTTTTAATTTCATTCTCCAATAACTGGACGAGTGTGTCCTCAAATTTGTAGCACCAGAAGCAGCTATAGCAAATTGCAATATACTACGAAGAATCATGAAATATATCCACACTTAGGACTTGTTTGATAAAGTCAATTCATATTTAAAATTATTGGATTAAGTATTTTTTTCATTTACCATGTTTGATAACAAAAAATAAACCTCTTAATAAATTAAGTGTAGTTGAAACTGCAGTACAAAATATAAGCAATAAAAGTTAGATTATTTTTTATTCCGTAACTGCTTAATGAAATCAGTATTTCTAATTTAGTATTAAACATTTATAATTAAACACTAATTTTTATCAAACAGCCCTAAGATTCAATTTAAAGTTTTAAACAATTGAGACGTGTGATTAAGCGAAATAATAATGATATCAGATAATAATAATACTCAATTTGCTACCATAAAAATAAACTAATAAACTTTGCAAATCGTTTGACTACGCAAGAAAGCCAAGTATACCAGCTAGCGTCTCAATTCATCCTCCCTTCAGAAGACACATCAAGAAATTAAGTATATATGGCCTTACCTGAACTAATAATGCAAATGCATGTAAACTCTCTAAATTAATCACTACCGTAGCCAGTGTTTTTAGAGCCGTATCCAAATCGGTGGGCATATAAAACTATAAGACTGGATGTCACTAAATCGTTCAATACTTCCGTCTTCAAGATTATAGGTTCCCATATCCTCGCCACCTCCTAAACCCAGGAGGCCTCCTCCCCTCCCTTTTGATTCACTGATCTCATGGTAACAATAACATTCTATGCAATCATCCGTAAAATAGATACAATTGGGCTTCACAACACCCGGAAAGTCAGAAGCCAAAACTGACTTAGCAGCACCATGCCCAACAAAAATAGCGTTCATTCCCAAACTAGTGATCCCCTCCCACTCACATTTGGTGACATCTAACCGAAGCACCTTGAAATTAGTAACCCCATAGCTCCAATCAACCACATCTGCCAAGTCTTCCACATCAAAACCATTAACGTCAGTTCCATTCCGAGTAACAACCAACAACTCGTCGCTTCCGCTTGATGATGATTCTACCACATATGCTTCCCTGAACGGCAAGAAGAATTCTCGATCGATGATCAGGAAGAGCTGGAAGGCATGTGGTGAGGATTTGTGATCCCACACGCAAACTTGGCCCACGGTACTGACGGCATAAAACTTACCATCGTGGTAAGTGACGTCCCGAAATGTTGGATATCGGGGTGGGCTTGACAGTAACCGGGTCCACACCAAGTCGCCGGGCCTCCAAAACCCCAAGAAAGCACGACCGGCGTAAATCACGGTTAGAACAAAATCCGATACGCGCCGAGGGTTAGCTGACAGAACCGCCTTCATTATGAAATTGAAAAGTTTTGAAGCTGGCTGGGGTATTTAAAATCAGGGAAAGTTGTACAGTGTGGGAGTTTGATTTGAGAACCAGTGAGATGGTACAATAACATTACTTCGCCGGAGCTGTCAACGGCTAAGATCCACCCAAATCTGGCGTCCATGCACATCTTACCTTTCGCCTCGGGGAGTGGTAATCTCATGACGATCTTTCTCTTCGAGAGGCTGTAAAATTCGCGTTCGTCGTTGTCTTGTTTTTCCGCGAGCATTAGCAACGGAACTCGAGTCAAGGAGGAGGAGGAGGAAATATTGGCGAAATTAAGCTTTCTTGCGGCGGCTCGCCAAGAAGCACAAGCTCCTCTAAAAGCCATGAAAATCTTCCACTGCTATTACGTGTTTTGCTATCTCTACCAACATCTCGTGAAGAAGACCCGACCAATCTCTTGTGGCCTCCATTAATTTCGACTCTAAGGGTTAACAAATTAAAATTTTCAGATCTTCGCGCGCAAGGGGGAAGGAAAGATATGCAGGGGAGAGATAGCAAACCCCATTCTGGATCCCTGTACTAGTTGGACCCGGAATCAGCAAATTTGGGTCAATTTGATTTTGTTAGGACAATTTTCTTCAATATGTCGTTTTTTTTTTTTTTGGGGGTGGGTGGGTTAGATGATTTCTCTTTTAACAATTTTAATTACTTTTCATTTTTCACACGCATACGTAACATATATTCTATTTTTCAATTTTCAATATTTTTTTCAAACTTCTTTTTATAATTAATTATTCTCAAAAAGACGACAAGTTTCAACACATATTTCGAATGTGAGATATTAAAGACAACAATATTTTTTCGACAGCAAAACAACATCGTTAGTGACATATAAGTTGTGTTTGACTATTTACTTATTTCATTTTGGATCATTTAATTTCGAACGAAATTTTAATTTTTTTTTTTAAAAAAGAAAAAAGTAAAAAAGGGGACAATAGTCTCAATGATAAACCCTAATACTATATAATCAAACTTTGTAGCATATTACTTGGTAGTGTAAACCTTTACAAGCACGATAGGTTTACATTGATTTTAGTGATTTACCATTAGGAATTAAGTCCTGGTTGCAACATGACTTTATAGGTGTATTTTAGTCGAGGTCTATTTTAATTTGATTTTGATATATTAGGCATTTAACTTCTATTTTGTACCAAATAATAATAACAATTATAATGATATCATGAAGCATGCATTTGTTCATCTTGAGTAAAATTACCAAGGTTAGCAGAGATAAGTCTGGCTCAGGACAGAACTTCTTGTGTAATCAGATCAGATCTTGAGTAATGAAATAGTTCTTTCTTATAAATAAAATAAAAAATGCATTTGTTCTTTGTAAAATAAAAGTATATATCAAAGCAAAAAACGGACATGACGATGAAGTGGGGCAGATTCACGAACAACAGCCTTAAATGTTGTGGGCAATTACAGATATGGGGTGAATTGCCCAATCGAATTTAATTTCTGGCCGGATGAGCGTCTTGCATGTCTAACCCAAATGTTTTCATTTTAATCTGCAAAGAGCCTATCGATAGGCCCAACAACAGTTTAATAAGAGCTTTTTTGTTAAAAGAAACGATCAATAATTTTCTTCTTCTTCCTCAATTCAAATCAAGGTGGATCATGATTGATGACTATAGATGGTTTTAATGAAAGAAAACTATTTAAAAGTGACCGGTAGTAAGAGATCATTAACGTGTACAAAAGTACCATTGATTGACAATAGTTTACGTCATAACAAAGGTTACATCAACACACTGTATATGAAAACTAGTTATACTCATTCCGTCTCAAAATAAACTTGTGTTTGTTGAACTAAAACAAGACGGATAAATCATAAAAGAATCGGTTAATATCACAAAACTCGAAATAGATAAGTCACGTATCTGAAACTACACCCTGCTCCAAAGTCTATTTAATGCATTCATAAAAAAATTTCAAAGCGTTTCCACTCGAAGGTCTTCAAGACAATAATGCAAAATTTTCCGTCTCTTCAACTAATCAAAATTGAATGACTGGCGGACTAATAAATGCAAGACTTTTAATTTCCTTTTTTTTTATTAAATAAAAAAAAAAACCACATTCTTGATGGGTGAAACTGCGAACCGAATGTTTCTCAACTTCGCTGGGAAGTAAGGTCGATTTCAACGCCAAATTAGTCAACCCCAAAGCACTACCGAGTTCCTATGACTGAAGTTGGGCACCAAAGCTTTGACCATTAATGTTTATTGAAATCTAGAAGAAGATGTAATTGGTCATGAATTTAATTTTATGATAATGACCCCCCCAATCTTTTTTATCACTAAATAAATTTGCGAAACTTTCTTCTTCTTCCCAACCACTTCATAAATGGGTTTTTGTGATTGAAGTTTTCATGGCCAAGATTTTAGCAAGAAAGAAAAAAGAACTCTTTATTTCCAACTACCTCCTACCCCCTTCGAAATTTTAGTTAGTGTACTAACCTAGTGACCATCTCTTGTCTAATCCTTTCTTCTTCTTCTTCTTGATTTAAATCCACCATCTTTAGGTGAACCACTTTTCTTCCCATTTTCAACTAAGTTTCTACATTGTATTTCCCAAACAATACCAAAAAAATCATCATCATCAATTTCTAATTTCTTTGACCAATTTTTAGTGATGAAAAAAAAAAAAGTGATATCAATATCAATTGTCATCAGGAATTTACACGGTATACATAATTCGACACTTCAAACAAAATTGCGGGACGGATAATTTCTTGTCAATTTCATTAAAACTGGAACGTTTCTCAACGGAAAAGTCATTTTGTTTGATTGAGTATTATTTCTGACGTTGCCGGTTTAACGTTTATAAACACACCGAAACCGTTTCCTTGTTACAGGCCAGAAAATAAATACTACCAAATCATGCAAATTTAATAAGCCATCAAGTGCCAAAGCTCTACTTTTTCAAAAATAAAAAAATAAAAAAAACTTAAATAAACCCCCTAATTGCATGTCTGACCCAAGAAAAGTAACAAATAAAATAAGGTATCCCAGTTGCGTCATTGAACAAAATAAGAAGTAATCAACTCTGAATGTTCGATTTAACCGTGTTTTTTAACTCTGAAATTTTCAATTAGAAAAAAAAATTATCATAATTAGTTTCTATCCCTCTGGTTTGATTATATTATTATTATTTCAGTAACGTACAATAAACATGACAATGATTTTGAGACGGAACGAGTATTTGTCCAAAAGTGGCGTTTCTTGTTGAGGGGTATTTTGGCCATTAGCAAACAGAAAAAGCCCGGGAAGTCTTAAAATACCAGATTTACCAACTACTTTCCTTTTGACACATTCATCTAAACCAACCTAAAGGAGAAGAAGATCCATCCCATATTGAGTAGTATTTGACTAATAAGGCTTTTTTCAGAGCAATGCACAGAATAAACCAATATCCAGATTTAACTTGTTCAATCTCCTCTCTTCTTCATCAATTCTGTTCAACCTTTCTTAATCATTCATGGCTGCTTCTAATCCTCATCATCCATCATCACTATTAATTTTGTTTTGTTATCTCCTGATCATCATCCCACAATCTTCCTGCCAATCAGGCTCCTCTGCCCCTCGGAACATTCAAGTTGTTTACCCATTTGCCCTTACGCCACCACCACCGCCGCCGCCCCCGCCGCCACCACCGCCGCCGTCCAATTTTACTCCGCCGTCACCGATTTTTCCGGCGCCGAGAAGCTCACCGTCGTCAACAAGTAAGAAAGTTGGGGCTGCTGTTGGAATTACTGCTGCAACTACATTAATTCTATCTGGGCTCTTGTTCTTTTTGCTTCAGAGGTGTTCTAAGCGTAGGAAGGAAACAACAACTCATATTAATCCATATGCGGCTAGTAGTCCTCCATTTGTGCCGCAACAGAATGAATTCAAGAGATTTAATGGGAATTTGAAAGGGGTAATTGTGGATGAAGATGGGTTGGATGTTATTTATTGGAAGAAATTAGAAGGTGAGGATAATAGCAAGAGGAGATTTGAGAAGCAGGCTTTTAGGGACTTGAGAAGGGTAGAAGAAAAAGAAGAAGAAAAGAAGGTAATCAGCAAAGGTGATCATCACCAGAAATTCGCCCCACCCAGCCCGGAATTCCCTTTGCTCAGAGGAAAGTCTTCGTCTTCCCAAAGCCCGATTTGGAATGATGTGGAAATCCCATTCGAAAAGAACGTTTCCGGGACTTCTTTTCCGGTTGCTAAGCGAGAATCGTCAATCCCACCACCAGCACCGCCGCCGCCTCCGCCACCACCTCCACCAGTAATTCCGGTGGCTGCTGTGGCTGTTTCCAAGAATAAAGCCCTTTCGCCGCCGCCTCCTCCTCCTCCGCCAGGGCCGCCACCAATCCCACTCCAGAAGATTCCTCCACCTCCTCCTCCGGTTCTTCCTAAGGCTAGAACCGTGGCTGTGGGAGTGATTTCAAAGCCGCCTCCGATTCCGAAAGGAGTGCCAAATGTGAACAAGAAGAAAGAGGCCTTAGAGATAGAAGGAGATGGGCAAGTGAAACTGAAGCCTTTACACTGGGATAAGGTGAATCGTAATGTGGAACATTCAATGGTGTGGGACAAGCTTGGTGGCTCTTTCAAGTAAGGACCATATTTTTTTGCCCTTCTGTTTTAATGTGCAAGTTCTTTCTAGTTGGATCAGTTTTTTGTAATTAGATTTCATAGTTTTTTCTAACTTGGTTTTGATTGTATTTGATGGATTCCAGGGTTGATGATGATCTTATGGAAGCCCTTTTTGGATACGTTGCTACAAACAGAAAATCTCCCAGAAGTAATGCATCAATACCGACAGGAAGTGATACTAATAATAAGCCAGGATCGTCCTCCCAATCTCAAATCTTCATTCTTGATACAAGAAAGTCCCAAAATACTGCAATTGTGTTGAAATCTCTGGGCATTTCACGAGACGGGATCATCGATGCGCTCATCCAGGGGGAAGATTTAAGCTTAGAAACTCTGGAGAAGCTAATGAGGATTGCTCCAAGCAAAGAGGAACAGTCAGAAATCCTCGCATTTAATGGGGATCCTGCAAGATTAGCTGATGCTGAATCATTCCTTTACCATCTCCTTAAAGCTGTTCCATCGGCTTTTACTCGGTTTAATGCGTTGCTGTTTAGGTCGAATTTCAACCATGAGGTCCCTCATCTCAAGGAGTCCTTCCAAGTACTTGAATCCGGGTGTAAGGAGCTTCGTGCTAGGGGGCTTCTTCTAAAGCTTTTGGAAGCTATCTTGAAGGCCGGAAATCGCATGAATGCCGGTACTTCAAGAGGAAATGCTCAGGCTTTCGATCTCACGGCTCTCAGGAAGCTGTCTGATGTGAAAAGTACTGATGGGAAAACTACATTACTCCATTTTGTGGTGGAAGAAGTTGTTAGGGCAGAGGGAAAACGCTGTTACCTCAATCGTAAAGGCAATTTGAACCGCAGCAACAGCCAAGGCCAAAGCAGCTATACCGGTGGTGAAAATTCACAATCGGGACAAGATAGGGAGAAAGAGTACATAAAGCTTGGTTTACCAATTGTTGGTGGCCTCAGTGCTGAATTCAGCAATGTGAAGAAAGCAGCCTCATTTGACTATGATACTCTACTTAAAAACATTACAGCATTAGGATCACAAGTAGCCGAAATTCGGAAACTTGTTCAACAATCTGCTGGAGGTAGTAATGAAACAGGAGGATTTGCTGAACAAATGAAGATTTTCCTGAATTCAGCTGAAGAAGAAATGAAGATCATAGGAGAAGAGCAAATCAGGGTGATGGAACTCGTAAAGAGGACAACAGAGTATTTCCAATCAGGGGCCAAGGATAAAGGGTGGCAACCATTACAAATATTTGTCATCGTTAAAGATTTTCTGGATATGGTGGACAAAGCATGTGTTGACATTGCAAGAAATGCTCAAAAGAGGAAGCCTGCTACGACACCACCACCTGGAAACACTAGCGGATCATCATCGCCGGAGTCTCCTAAAAGCCGGCCTGCTGTGAAATTCCCAAAATTGCCAGCCAACTTCATGTCTAGCTAGTTAATGAGGTGGTGATCGAATGAAGATAGAAGCTTTGAATGAAGTTAATTGGGATCTGTATATGCTCAAATGGGACAACAGAACAGAAGGGAGAGGAACATGTACATTCGCCTCGGGGATCTTTTTTATATGCAAGATTCATTGCCATTTTTTCGTTTTATCTGTAAGTGCACTTAATTTAGATTCATTTTTCAGGATTCTTTTACCATATGATGCTTGTAGAGATAGGAAATTAGCAATCTTTCGTTTTTTATTTAGTCTTCGATTCTTAACAATGGACCGTGGAAGAAAATAGAGCCACATTTGGGGGCCGTCTTTCCAACAGACCATTCTTTCTTGTTTCTTACTAATGTTTTCTGAGTTAGTGACAAAAACATTACCCTACTGGTTGATCAAGAAAGCTGTTACTGTACATTTTGATCTCTTCGTTTGTAACTACCGCATTTTTTATAATTGACACAATAAAAGAAATATTTTCAACTGAATGGTGTGAACGAATATTTTTGCCATGTACACTTTCTTACAACTTCGAAAAAGGAAGAAAATAAATCCTTCTAAGCTGCACCAGCCTATCTCCCTTCTGCAAGATGAGGCCTTTCCATTTTCCCAGGAAGGGAGTCTAAAGCTGCACTTGTTCTGCAAACAAGGGTTCGGAGAAAGCATTTACTCAAACGCTTCATCTCTACAAAACTAGAGTAACAAATATACCTACTATTTCATAAGTCGAGCCCCGCAATCTAACGCCCCAAAAGAAGCAAAATAGCCTGCTAGTTGAATTTCTGTAGCATTCACGTATCTTCGCGCACCTGAAATTCTGGAACAACCGCACATTTGGTTTTTACCAATTTGGGGCCACTCATAAGCTGTTTATACTTCCAAAAATTTGCCTCTAATGCTTAGTGGTCGGGGATCAAAGTGCACAACTCCCACTTGACATGAAATGAAATCTTCTTATACCTTCGACAGTGGTCCACGATGAATCTTCCTCTTGTCCTCCTAAAGGTCAAGTTGGCAAGCAAGGAGGAAAGTTGTTAATATCTCTACAAAAATGTCAGAAGAATTAGTAGTCTCTGGAAGAAACTGATGCTTCTTTTGGGGGAAGAGCCCATTTACTATATGCGTATTAAACCAGCGACTTGGGAAGCGTCGGACCTAGATGTCTTGTTGATCTAAATTTATGAACTGCCAGGGAGACTAAAATGTGGAATGTGAAAACATAAACGTAAAGCTTGAAAGTTCCAAATTACCTTGCCAGGAGAAATCCTCATAGTTCCTAGTCCTCTGTTAAATGATGGTGCACTAGTGGTCTGTGGTTTGAGACCTTGCCTAACATTTTTCGGCTGACCCTCCTGAATATGATGCATCACTTTGAAAAGTCAAGCTTTACATATGTCTGCAAACCATTAAGTCTATTAAGCTTGAAAGTAGGAGACTGCTTGAGCAGAATCGTAGATGTACCTTTGCCTTAGCACTATGATGTAATCCTCCACCCTCTTTTACAAATGACTTTTCACCAGGTTTCTGCAAAAATAGTAAACAAATAGAACATAATGCTAAGTGAAAACTAAAGATCGCAGTCACCAATGCTAATAGAAATGCTATATTTGCCTACAATAGAGACGCAAAATGTTGGAGACAAGTTCTACCTCCTTCCATTTCTCTGCTTTGGCATCAGCTCTCACACCAGTAGAAGAGGAAACAACAGAGGCGTTCTTTCGGTCAAATCCAGAACCTTTGGCTGACCTGGTCATTCAAACATACTAACTTCATCAAGGAATTCCAGTAATGGGGGTCGGGAGACCTGACAGTGAGAAATGAACTTTTCCCTCTAAAAGCTCATCTAAGACGAAATGGTTAATTCTAAGTTCCTTAAGCTATTTTGCCAACATCAGTCAAGTACAACTTTAACATACATGAGGTAGGAGGGAAAAGACGCATATTTAACATGCAGCACTTCATAAAGGAAAAATTAAACATGGCAGCTTGCTTACCATGATGACAACGAACTTGATGTGGTGCCTGATCGACTTCTTTGACTAACCTTTTCTGCAGATTTCTTTGGCCTGAAACCGAAACAATCCATTGCTCACAATCATAACCAAACATGGACAACGTACATATTAAATCAATCAACAAGGAAGCTATAATATTCCACCTGCGTCATGGAATACAGTAAGACAGACAGATAACAAGGTTACCCCTGGTGTAGCTTGTTTGGGTTTATAAAGGAGGTTCACCATTTTTAACTTCAAATACGAGATATAGAAACCAGGTACCTCACAACAAATGATATCCAACCGAAAGATATACAAGCAGATTAGAAATGAGAAACAGAGTAATAGATTACCCTTCATTCTCCTTTCTTGGAGTCACATTAGTAGAAATTCTCGTCAAAGAACCCTTCACGGAGACCTGCAAAATACATCAAATGAATATTCGATTAAACAAACTGGAAAGGAAGAAGGTATATCGTTGTGTTCTCAAAATTCTTACTAAGGCATGTTGTAACTAGACAAACCTGTTGCGGGCTACTGGCTGTCCCATCATTTGAATATCTTAATCCATTGAGACTGTTCTGAAATGTCTTAAATGCTCGCCTCACAATGTCTTTATCTCCCATGCTTTCCATAATCAGAGATTTTCTGGTTATGGAAGGAGAAGGCCCAGAACTGGCAGGATCCAAACTCAGCGACATGTGAAGAGAAGCAGGCCTTTCTCTCCCATTTTGCATTGGAGAATTCTTGACCCTCGGCAATGCAGGCGTTTCATTAACTTTCTTTGCCGAGGGTCGAGAAGATGGCATCATTGTGGATTTTGATAATTTGGGGGTTGAAAGTTGAGACATTTTCGTGACTGTTGATGACTTGCTGGCTGGTGATGCAGCTGTCTTTTTACTCCCAGCAGACACCTTCTCCACTCTAGTTGGCGTCATCTGCACAAAACATGGAAAACCCAAGATTCAATCTTCATGATGCAGACAACAAAGCAAGAAAATGTGGTTGTTAGAAAAGTTTGACAACATATTTAAACCCTCACCTTCTTAGTGGCATTTGCTGGATGAACTTTTGAACTCTTTTTATTGTTTTGAGGCGTTTTCTTGACCTCATTAGCCACCTTCAAAGGTTGTTCCACAATTTCCAAATGTGCACTTTTAGAAATATCAACTTGAACAACTGTGGCTCCTTCTTCACTTCTTGATTCAACTTCAGCTTGATTACTAGTCGATTCTCCCTTGATTTCTTCAACAACATCTGCTTCATGGTTAATTGAAGTTCCATTGAGTTCTTCCTTATCTACCTCAACTGACAAGCCTTGAGAACCCACAGAAATGGCATCGTGCTCTTTTTCTTCAACACCTGGTGTAAACATCAACTTATCTTCAACAGCAACTACTGGCTCAACTCTTTCGGGAGATCCTCCACTGGCTAGTGAAGTATCCTCGTCACTAGGTAAAGATCTCTGCCCAACGAAGTTCTTGCAGTCTGACTGTACTGAACAAGGAGGAACAGATTCCATTAAACTTTCCTGCTCCAACTGCTCCGTCTTTTTGGCAGCAATTTTCTTATAGTGGGCTTCAAAATATGCCTTCTTCTGCGCTACTGATCCAGGAGTTTTGCACTTCTCAACTTCTTCCAAATACTTATTCGGAGAAAACGATGACCATTTTTCCCAAGAAAGCGAATCAGACTCATATTTACCAAACGAAACTGATACTTGAAGAGAATCAGCAGATGAAACAGAATTATCCATCTGTCAATAGAAAAAGAAAACTCTTTACTTTCAACTAAACTTGGGGAGGAACAGAATCATGACATCTCAAACAGGAGATAGAAATCTCGCATTTATAAAGAAATTCATAAACAGATGCTCAATCAAACTAAAATGATCCAGAGAAATGACTATGGGTGTAATCACAGAGGACAGAATTGTGTACCTTGTTCTCAACAGCTGGTCTTTCGACCATAGATTCAGCCATTGATTCACCAATGTCAGGGAAGTAACTCAGCAGCAACTATGGCAGAATGAGATGCAACCAGTTGGATAAACTAGCCCTGAGAAACAGCATGGGCCAAATGATGAATACACTGAACTGAACCATACCGAGTGACCAAGTAGGAATAAGCAAATCACAATCAAGACAAAAAGAAGGCCAGAAAAATTGCAGCCATTTTAGACAGGTCATGTGCCTTAGTTTCTATTGCTTCCTTTAATTTGGACTAGAATTATCCATACAGCTTTTTTACAGCAATTAAAAAAAAAAACAAATCTTGTGATATGGTCCTTCTAGATAAGTCCCAGAAACATAATTACCTTAATCATCAACACACTGATTATTTTACTTCCTCCTCAAACAAAGTACAGAAGCTGTTCTAACTTTTCACATCAAAATGGTCTTTCTAAAATAAAGAAACCAGTTCAAAAGTTGCATAATAGTCCAATTATTACCACATTCTAAAAAGCCAAAATGAAAAATGCTACACGCGCTTTCGATTCCCACCGAAATATTCAATTGGGCACTTCTATTTAAGTCAATAGTGGACAAAATTGTGAAGATTTAGCCAATACATTATGGTCCAAACTAATAATTAAAGCACAGAAAAAATCACAACTTCTATAATGTATATACAAGTTACCTTGGGTTTATCTAAAAAAGATACTTCTTTGAAGAGAAGAATCGAGATAAGAGGGACATCGGAGGCTGATGATGATGATGAAGTGGAGGAGGCGTTTGATCAGTTGATGATGATGGAGATGGGATAGAAGGCCCACCACTGAAAGTGAAAAGGAGGAGAAGAAGAAGAAGAAGATGGGGTAGTAAGTAGTAGTACATTTTCTTACCAGTTTCCACAGTAGAGTGAAGAGAAAGAGACACAAACGAAAGAGAGAGAGAGAGAGAGAGTGCGTGACTGTGTGTCTGTGTGTGTGTGTGAGAAAGTGGACACGTGACAGATCGGTGGATGGGTACATAATAATGTTGGTAACTAACATGGACACGTGTGGACCCTGCTAATTTAATTTCATTTACTTTCTTCTCATTTTCTTTTCTTTCTTCGTTCAATTAATTGGTATAATTATTGGGCATAAGAATTGGTTTTCTCTTTTTTGGATTTTCTTTAATTTATTATAAAGAAAATCAATTGACTATCAACCCTATTTCAGTGGCTCAATAATACCGTACGAGGGACAAGATTCACATGAATGAGCATCAACTCTAGAGCCCTAGACTACAAATCTATAGAAGGGGATCTTACCAAAACACGCCACCGTCTCAACTTGGTTTGTTTGATCATTTTTGCTTTCTGTTTGAAGGACATACTAGTACTATTCTCTAAGGTTGGGCTGATTAAGAATACTTAGAATAATTGCTTTTGGTCCTAATTGCCTGAATAGTTAAAACATAAATGCAGTAACAGTACTACGGATCCTTAATAACTTCTCCATATTGATTTCATGTGTAACTCGAGTCATCTAATTTTTACATGTATTTCTTTTGTTCGAAAATGATAGTCCACTTTAAATTTTTACTTATAACATAAATATAATAAAAGTAAAAAAAAAATCAAATAATACAATCATCTTGAAACTGAGAGAGTAATACGTAATATTACCTCCGTCCCAAAAAAATAGTTCACATTGAGTTTTGAGATTTCAATATGGACTGTTTTTCTGGGACGGAGATAGTAGTTTATTAAATTGATCAATGAGATTAAGATCTCATGTAGCTAATGGCGTTATCAATTACTCAATTAGGTTAAAAGGACATGCTACTGTGGGTTATCCATGTACAAAATGTACTTTAGCCTAATACTTGTCCCAACTTTGATGGATTACAGAGTATGTTTGACCACAATTATAAATAAATAATTCCAAATCCGTTATTTCGTCAAACAAATGTCTGGAAACACTAGCTTGAAAACAATTATTTGCTGTTATATAGGCTATAAATTACTACAATCATCACTCAATTTCAACAAAATCCCAAAATTGTGCCTTTCAATACTAGTCTAATGTCGCCATCGAGTGACTTGAGAGTTGAGACTTGTTGGACTATTTATTGTCTTGATGGGCCGATATTAACTTAGAAGACATAATAGCATGTGCTTCACTGGATACATCTGGGCCCAAGGGTCCTACAAAAGCAGAATATCTCCTTAAGTATACGTTCATTAACTCTTTTCCTTAAATAATTTGAAGAACTCAGAACAACAAATGCTTAATGCAGTGTGTAGTTATGATTTGAATAGCAAGTAGAAATGGGTCCGAATTTCCTTTAATAAACTTGGTATTTGGTCAAAATCGCCTCTAAATACTTTGTTGCCCTACTAATTATGTACAATGCTCCGAAGCTACTCAATCTCCATTTAACAAGCTAACAATCACACTATTATATAAACTGTATCAATCCATCAAAGTACAATTCTCCATAACCATCTAGTATCTTTTGTCCCTGATTTCTTTCTTCTTTCAGAAAATTTCAGCATGAAAACCATCCTTCAATTAACTATGGGCCTGATTCTTCTCGTGGGCCTCGCCGAATGCGATCCAGACCCGCTTCAAGACTACTGTGTTGCATCCACTCAAACTCCTCCCAGCTTCTATGGCAATGGTGTACCATGCATCCACCCACAACTAGCAAAGTCATCACATTTTGCCACCTCTTCTCTATCAAAACCTGGTAACACTGATAATCAATTTGGTTTCAACATTTCGATGACCAACACGACGAATTTACCCGGGATGAACACATTGGGCTTGGCCATGGCCAGATTGGACATTGGGCCAGATGGTATCGTGCCGCTACATTCACATCCTAGGGCCTCAGAAGTGACCATTTTGCTAAAGGGCACCCTGTTTGTGGGCTTTGTTGATGGGTCTAACCGTTTGTTCAACAGGCAATTACGCCCTGGTGATTCATTTGTGTTCCCCAAAGGGCTGATTCATTACCTCTACAACATGGACAAAGATGAAGCAGCATTGGCGCTTTCTGGATTCAGCAGCCAAAATCCAGGTTTACAAATCTCCTCTTTTGCTTCTTTTGTATCTAAACCAGGAATCCCAGATGAAGTTCTTGAGAAATCATTCAAGATACATAGTCCCGATGTGGCCAAGATTCGAAGGAACCTCGGAGGATGATTGTTTATTCTTGGAAGTGAAGTTTGTTCTATAGTGGTTGGTTCTGTTGGTCGTGGAATGAAGCTTAAGTTTGATCTTTGGCACCTAAAAAAACAGTTACATACCAACTACTGGAAGAAGTTCGGTTGTGTGAAACAGGATATATATATATCATTAGTGTATTTGTACCCTAAGTTGGCCTCTGTCCAACTGTCACACACATAGTCAAATAGTTACAACTCACATGTATAGTTACACTTTTTTTTTTAAAAGCTCTTTTTTTATCCGAATCGTCGAAAAATGTCCAATTGTTTTCGTGCAATTGATGGATGGCGAAATTTGTGCTGGAGATGATAAATGTAAATATACTCTAGTAGATTACATAAATGATGTAAAACAAAGTGTACGCATCATGCGGTGATTGAAGACGGATTGATAAAACTGAAAGCAGCAAAAAAATAAAATAAAATAAAATAAAACTGATTTTGACTTTTATTACAAAAACAAATCCAGAAGGGATGATTCGCAAATTCACACTGATGATTGTTATGAGCTGTCATGGAATGAAGGAACATTTTGCTTTTTGGTAAGCTCTTATCTTTATGGTACAGAAATACTATACGGTGTTTGGTCCCTTCTTTTGTCTTTCAGTTTTTTCTTCTTATATATCGTTACATTGTCTAACAACTATACTTGTTAAAACAGCGCAAATACCATATGAGTTTTAATTTTTTATTAAGAAAAAAACACGCAAATTCTATATGAGTTTAATAGATAGTTAAAAATTACTCTGTTTGTCTTGGAATACTTATCTTTTTATTGTACTCCCTCCGTCCCATAATTATTGTCTACTTTGTCCAAAAAATTTTGTCCCAAAATTATTGTCCAATTTGACTTTTTATGGATCAAGTTACACATTTGTCCTTAGTAAAAAACATTATCCATAAAATCTTAGTGGTTAAACAATTACTTATGTAAGGGTATATCCGGTTGTTTAAGGTAAAATATAGTTAAGTTTGACCAAAAATAAAATCTTTTATTTTAGTAAAATTGGACAATAATTATGGGACGAGAGGAGTACTAAAGAACATAACCTACTCGAGATTGAAGGAGTAATATTTTTCGTTAAAAAAATGGTTCTTGTTGTTGTATTCAAAAACCGGAAAAATAGATTATAATGTACTCGGTAACATTTTTTTGGTGAATTTCTTAAAGTCCATAAATCTAATTCCATTAGCTATGTGTAAGGAGTATATAATAAAAAGATCAAAATGATTTTCATCCAATCCTAAAATGATTATTTAGTGAGAGAGTAATCTGCTTTGAACAGGTCATTCAGAACCAGTGACAAAACATTACATCACGGTTTATAATCCCAATATTATCATTTACTCCCTCCGATTCTTATTATAAGTCATTTTGATTTCGTTCTAGGTTTTACCTAATATGTCTTTTTAATTGAAATAAAAATCTTAAAAATATTTCATAATAACTAGGAGAACACAGCGAATGTAAAAATATATTTTTAAGATTTTTTTTCAATTAAAAAGACATCATAAGTTAAACATAGGGCGGAATCAAAATGTCTTATAGATAGGACCGGAGGGAGTATTAGATTAATGATATTTCCATTTCGATCGTTGATCAAAACTTAAGCCTAGTTTTCATGCATGAAGGTGAATACATAGATCCAAGATACAAACAATGTGTGTAGTGTTGTTAGCTGGATTATCTTGTGTTTCACTTCGATGAGCTAAAAAGTTTTTTTTGGGAATTATAAGTCGATGAAATTAAGAAAAAAGAGTATATTTCTTCCTTCCTTCCGGACAAATTCATGGAACCCATGTTGTTTTTGTAAGCTTGGAATCGTCGTGTCTCTTAATTTTCCAACAATGCAAGTTTCCCAAATTATTCATTTCATCCAATAATGAGCTTCTCCAATCGGAAGGCTCGAATCTGATTCCACCTTATTTTTCTCCTCCATTAATTAATTGCTACATCAAATTATGTACCATGTGAAGAAACGCCCATTGAGGAATATCATCCCATAAGATAAACTTAAAATTCATTGATCCAATTCTCTTCTTCCTATGCACACAACTTGTGACATGTGATCTCAGTTGGTTTTGAAATGTTTATTAAGTTTAAATAGTCTTATGATTTTTATTTTTTTTTTTTCGGAACCATTGATCATGCAATTCGAGTTCAACAACTTTGTCTTAATTATAATATTATCTTTGTCCTAAAAAAATAATCCACATTGAGTTTTCAAATTTGTACTAAAACTGGTAAAAAACTCAGAACTCAATATGGATTATTTTTGTGGGACAGATGGAATATTTGATTCCGATAAGATTTATCATAAATAACTCTTCGTGGAGTTTTAATTTAGATGTTAATTCCCTGATAATAATATAATTGAAACATTTCAACTGTAGTTTCCTCACATGATTTTGAAGGCCACATGAGAAAGTTTGAACAGTCAAATTCTTCTGATATTCATTTATGGTGGTGGCTACGCTCTTGTTGGTAAATGATGGAAAATTGTACTTATTAGATCGGTCATATGCTTCCCGGTTCCCATATAGGTTGGTGGTGGCTTTGGCTTGTGCATGTTGTAATGAATATTCGCATCCGTTTTTCATTACGCCTTTTAATTTTCCACCTCAAAAAGAAAAGAACCTCACATGATATTTGATTTTATGATCCATGATATTGTTACCAAGACAAGAACGTTGTTATCAAAATTGCTCTTCTGTTCTAAGAATTTTGTAGTAACATTTTCTTAGATCATTTTTAGCAGTTTGACCGAAATGTGAAAAATAATTTTCAAGTCAAATGTAGTGGCCTATTAGAGGGGAGGAAGAACCTAGTAGTTTCAGGAAATTTCCCATGTGTGTCTACACGCAACTTTTTTTCACCATATTCATCGTACATCTCACTTGTATAGAAGGGTACAAAAGGTTTATAAGTTAAAAACAAGGCAAAGGCAAAAAATACCTTATACCTTGCTTTAAATATGGAGAAAGAATGGGCCTTTTTTACAAAAATGATTGAAAAGTACTTTGAAGTCAAGGGAAGAAAAGTAGTACTTGTATAGAGATGAATCATTTTTATTAGTAGTAGTAGGAGTTATTAGCTGGACACTTAACAAACACTTTCTCCCCCCATGTCTCCATTTCTATGTTATCTTCGCCTTTAATATTTTGTCAACTTCCCCAATCATAACGTGCACCAATGCTCTATCCCCACCTCAAATTCAACCAGAAAACTACACCAAAATCTTTCACATATCTAGTTGACAATACAGAGCACAACCTACAACAAACAATGCACCATCCAAAGGGTTAATTAAAACTAACTTAAAAAGCCAAATGCTTCCTAATAAGCTTTGTAATGCTTCCGTATTAATAAGCGACATTAAAAAGTTGGATAAAATGGTAAGAGCGACAAACTGTAACCATCGGACGGACAACAAGTCCAAGTTCATCAAAATCCATACAAAGTCATATTATTAAGATCAATGAGATCGTTTTGAATACGTAAGAGTAGGCATATACTAATAAGTTTTGCGCGTTCTTTATGTGTGAGAATTGTAATAGAAACATCAAACATCCAAGAAAGTGCCAAGCGGCCACAAATACAAATCGCCAAGCAAATACAAACACGAAAAGTTGGGGGGGAGGAGGGGATAGAAAATGACCCATACTGAAAGTTGAATCAGTGTGTCAAAATTGTAATTTGTTCATTATCAACACCCCGCCGGCAGCCGTAAAAAGATACAAAGTACAACAATCAATTTAAAACAAAATTTTGTTCCGGAAAGCCGGAATCCCGTGAAAGTATCAACGAATTATAGGGGAAGAAAAGGTAGTATACAACTAACTAAAAAAGAAAATTAAAGAACACTTTTTTTCGTCTGTAAAATCCTCACCACCAATTTACCAATTCAATTTCTCCGAACCCAACCAATGTTTTGTTTCTAAATAATTGAATCTGTACACCGCTAATAAAGAATATTACTCACCATTCAAAAAAAGAAAAAAAAAATTAAAAAGGGTAAAAAAAAAAAAGAAAAAAAATTCGTGAACTAATTTAAACTGCCACCAGGAAAGGCCATTGTTGCTGATTTTGAGGTAACCTCAATCTGCTGTCGCTGCTACCATGTTGTTGATGACGATGACGATGATTAGGCTTGAGCTTGTACAAATCGTAAGGCTCCCAGAGATAATCCAAGGGACATGGGTTATTCTCGTCGAGCCTAACCCATGGTTTGCCCTTACCAGACCAGTGAAGCAGGCTTACTGGACCAGGGTGTAGGGCCCGGCAAGAGCCCTTAACGTTGTCTCCACCAAGCCCATGCTGGTTCCACCGGTGGTCAATGGGCTCCACGTTACCGCCAAACACCAGCAGGAACGGTGGCAGTGACCCCAGCTCGTAAATCCGTTTCCGTTTCTGGACTTCCATCCAATTCTGTATTTGCATCCGGTAATTCCCTTCTCTCCATTTCCCCAAATCCATCACCATTACGCCCGTGTTAAAGTAACACGGGGTTTTTGATTCGAATACTTTGGACATCACCGGGTCGGACCAGAAGTAATCCGTGAAGTATTTGGTGAAATTGGCGTGGCAATATTCCGGGGCTCCGATGACTCGGTTTTCGCCCAGTTGGACATCCCACAGCTTCTTCACATCGTCCACTAAAACCACATCCGAATCCAAATAGATGACGCGCTTTACACACGGGTCGAGCATGTCACCCAGATAATTACGGGCGTAATTTAATGGGTTCTCAAGCGCTTGCCGGATCGAAGACGAAATCAAATTAATCACCGAATCTTCCCTAAACACATAGATTTTGAAATTCAAAGAAGGGAATGCGGACCGGACAATCCGGTTCAGGACACGGGGGCTGGCCGGGTCAAACTCGGCGGCGACGAAGTGGAAGAAAACGTGTTCCGGGCAAGACGCGTGCCGGAGAACAGAGTGGACCGCCGCTATTGACCCACGAAGGTACTCCGAGTCCAGCGTCATAGCAATATGAACCAATGAAGGATCACAAAACGTCATTGCATCGCTCGTCGCCGGGCAGCTCACGCCGTTCCGGTAGTCAGGTGCCTCTGCAAATCCAAACTCCGGTTCTGCAATCCCACCGGCATTACTGGGGAAGTAACGAATCCCAAAAGACATCCAAGGCATACAAAAAAGTATCGTCAACCAAACAATACCCACTTTAACATAACAAGAAGAATCCATCTTCTTCTTAGTTTTTTTCTACGGTTTTCTTCTTTCCGATGGCTTCAGGGGAATAAAAAGTATATGAAGATTAAAAAAAAAAAAAGACAGAGAACAAAGATCAAAGGGATTGCATTGTTGAAGCTGTGAAGTATAAAATGGAAAAAGCCACCAGATAACCTCGGGAAGAAATATGGTAAGGATTTTAGAAGCGATGAAAGGAAAGAGAGCTTCCTTCCTTCCTCCTAAGGGCTTCTAGAGAAAAAGGCTGGACTGTGTATAAATATATATGTAGTATTACTTTAGAGACGTTAAGACGAAGACGTGTAATTGGGTGTATTCGATGTCGTAATTTCAAACTTAACCATAATTGATTGATTAACAGTATAAAAAAAAACACGGTTTTTCACTGTCTTTCTCTTTTATTCTTTTTTGCTTGAAAAAAGAAGAAGCAGAAGAAGAGAGAGAATTCGCTGGGAAATTGGAAGGTAAAAAAAGACAATTGATTGCGTGGCATTATATGATTGGCTCGGGGGAGAGAATTTATTGCCGGATTTTCAATCTTTACGTTTAATAGTTGGGACAACAACAGCTCCGCTGTTACTCCTACTGGGATTTGGCTCACCAAATACTGAATTATTGTAAGTAGTAGAATATTATAGGAATATAATATTTTGTTCATAATGCCCCCAGTTATTATTATAACAAAATCAACTCCAAATGTGATTTGATTCGATTCATTTTTAAGACAATATTATTTTGGTAAGTAGTAGTGGTTTTATAATTTGGGAGTTAATACAATAAGAAAATTAAAGCCCTAATATGATTTGATTCGATTCACATTTTAGGACATCAGTTACCAAATTTCAGAGGATTCTCTCCAAAAGAAAAGAAGAGAAAACCCGAATTCGTAACGAAGACAGTAAAGACGCAGCTGTTTATTAGCTACTAGTAAGTAGTATATATATATATACTACATATATATATATATATATTTTCATAATCAAATTATTTTATTTTTTAAAAGGAGAAGCTAAAACATAATCGGCTAACGGTTAGCAGTATTGTAATACAAGTCCGAGTTCTAACACATCGTAGAATTGAAATAAATATTAAATTAATAGGACTATTTATCTTCTTTTTTTTTGCTTGTTAACAGAGTTTAACTGTATAACAGAAAGTTAAGCCGAAAGAGAGAGTCCTGCTTAACTTTTTGCCAATATCACAAGCTTACAGCTTACTGAATACGATTTTTTTTTTTTAAAAAAAAAAACTTTTTAAAAACATTTTTATGCATGTATGTAACAGAAATAAGTTTATGTACATTACCTCATTTTTTAATTTAGCCAAAACATGTAATTCCTTCGTCTCAAGAAAGCGTTGTATTGTGCACAAAATTTTCTCAATGGGACATATTGAGTATATATATATATATATATATATATATATATATATCAAAATAGTGAGATGAGAACATCAATTAATTGATGAATGTTGTATTAGCAATTACTAAGGAAATTATACTCATTGAAATAATTTTTTTTAAAAAAGAAGGTGAAGTTTGAAGTACCTTTATAACCAAAAGGAAAATTCGTTGCAGTTCATCAATGATGCAATTGTAAAATGAAAGGTGGGGCGGCGTCAAAGAAAAGTTTTGCGAAAATCAGGTTAAAGTTGGCTGATGAAATATGACATTTACCCCCTTTTTTGAGAATTCATTTCTCCTTTTTTTTTTCTTTTTTCGAAAACAAAAAAAAAAAAAAACCTAAAAGAAGCATTCAGAAATCAGCAGACACATAAGTTAGAAGTTGGTAATTGCTGGATATTATTTACAAATTTTGTAACATCATTTACATGATGAAACCACAAAATTTTAATAAAAAGTGGTTAGTTAGTTAGCGCGACTTTGGGTCGTCGCTTTTTTCCATTAAATAATTGAAAATTAATACCTAACAAAATAATAACGACATGTTTTATTCTTTGCAATGATGAAAGCGAAGAAGAAAAAAAAATTTTTGTGTTACATTATGAGCTAATAAAAATGTTGAAAGGCTGATTTTCGTGGAAATCAAAGCTTGTGTCTCACAATTCCTGCTTCATCTTAGGTCATTCATGATGGAAAACTGTCCTCTAATAATCTTGGTACAACTTCGATAGTCATTAATAAGAGAGAAATAACCATAATCTTTATGCCTATAATTTTACTTTTAGCTATTGCACAAATTATGGGATGATGGAATGACAAGTGAAAATGGATAAAAACGCAAATCAGGCTCAACGGAGGGAAAAAGGGAAGAAAAAAAAAAAGAAAAAAGATGAAAATGGAAGAAGTCAAATGAGTTTACTTGGAATTATAGAATTGGAATAAACTAATGTGTTGGGGGAATGTGCTAATGAGTTTTGATGTGTTGTGATTGGGGGGAAAAGAAAACGAAAAAGAAAAGAATATTCATTTTGGTTTCCACTAAGGCAATGCCAACTGTGAAAATAAGAAATACAGCTGCAAATTTGGGTGTACATAATATTTTTTAGTATAATATTTATATATTCTGTCCTGGGTTGATGGTGACGGCTCCTGGGTACAAAAGCCACTGCTGCCACGTGCTCACATGTAGCCTTATGTCATCCTCTCTCACCCAAATCCTTGCTGGCTTTCCCTAACTCTCTCTCTCTCTCTCTCTCTCCCATGTCTTTGGTCCTTGGGTTTTTGACCTTTTCAGTTTTTTACCACTTCATTTATTAGTTTACCAAAATATTGGAGTAAAAGTTTTAAAACAGTTTATTGCTCCCCCTTTCCATTTTTGTAGTCCTCCTGTTTAATTTTTCATTCAACAAATCTTAAAAGGAAAAGTTCAATATCATAATTTAATAATTTATCTCCAAAGTCCGGATATAATAAATAAATAATTTTGAAGATAATTAAGTTAAAACAAATCAAAATCAACATCGTTAAACCTCAATATACGTGGTATTGCCTTTTGTAAATTATAAATGCATGATTCGATTCATGCTCCAAAGCAATAACAAATTTTCACCTATGCAAAAAGTTATTTTAACTTTTAAATCAGCAACTTAATTTTTCAGTCAAAACACGTTAGATAACTTTTTCTTCATTTAAACAATGGTGATTTGGGTTTATATGTAAATGTTAAATTCTCTCAAACTTTACCATCCTTTTTGGGCAGCCAAAAAAGAAAAAAAAAATTGGGAAGTCCCCCACTGCACATATTCAATCATGTAATTGCCTGGTTCACCAAACTCCATGTTAGCTGAATTTAGACTGAAGACATTTTCAATTAGTGGTAAGTTTGTTTAGGAAAGAGCTCACGTAATCAAAATAATAAACAAAAAGAATGGAAGTTTTTGGAAGCTATCCCATTTCTTCTTTTTTTTTAAAAAAAATAATAATGGATTCACATATGGAGATTCTGGCCGCCAACATCATGAGATTAATTATTATTATGTTATTAAAAGTACTAATTGCCAAAACCAATCAACTTTTGTTTCTTCTTGTCATTGTTATATTCGTTAACCAAGTGCCAGCCAACCCTTATTTTAAAAAAAAAATGAAAAAAATAATTTCCACTTCCTTTATCAGTAATACGTTGTCATACTCCAAAGATGCTTTCCAATGGATTTTCTAGAATTTGTTTCAACTGATTGATAGTCAATACTGCATATACTTCTGACACATTTGCACTATATATAATGCAAACTAGATATAAAGAACAAGCATCGTTCATTTTAATAGTTCTTGACTCAATAGTAGAGAGTTTTTACGTTTAAAAAAAGGTATTCCCCCTCTGTTCCAAAATTATTGTCCAGTTTAAAATTTCACTTTTAATACAATTTGAACTAGAAATAAAAGTCCAAACTAGACAATAATTATGGGACGGAAGGAGTAAAAAATACCGCTGAAACAATTTGGACTTTGAAGCAATGAAAACCATTAGTTGAGGTGGTTTGCTGCTGACAACAATTTCAGAGATTCGAACACAAACTTAGGCGACGAATTTGCTGACTGATGCGATTAAAATCATTTAAAGTCCCAAAAATCCTTGTTACAGACTGAACTATATGCACCTATCCATTTCCGTGGGAATTAAAATGGGCGGATTATTACTACCTATATTTTTCTCTTTTAGTATAATTAACGAGGTAAAAGTAGTAAAATAAATTAACTAAGTACATGGCGTGGGGGAGAAATATTGATGATGCTGTTGCATAAATTTCGATTCAGATGCGTGTGACAGGTTATTATCAGTTTGAAGTAACAAAGTCACAAACCATTTCTAGTTACGGTAGAGCTCACATTATTGCACAGAGCAGAGCAATTGCATCGTGGACTGAGTCAAAATGTCAGATATGCAAATATTAATGCTTCTTCTTACATAAAAAAATAAAAAAAAAATCAACTGCAGATAATTATTTATTCTTTTCCTTGATTTTGTGTTTTCGATGAATATTTATTATCATCCTGTCACCAATGAGGTTATTCCCTGCATATTCAATGGATGAATCTTGTTCGAGTTCATGTGTATGATCGTTTCCCGCTACTTGACTTGTACTTTTTGATTATGGCGAGAGCCTTTTATTTCATCTTCCTTCTTTTTAATAAAATTTTCTTTATTACATCTGTCACCAAAAAAAAGAAAAAGCACATTTAATACAAAAAAATGAAATAACTTGATGAATTCTAAACACAACTGGCTGAAAAGTAGTGGCAGCACTAGTCCGCCCCCAACAACGTGAGATGCAGATGGATGGATTAAACATGGAAATTCCAACATTATCCTACCCAAAAAGCTTTATTCAGCGTTCAGACGCATTTTTTCGGATTTAGAATTTAGAGTTTTGGACTCCCAAATGCAGCAAAAAAACGGCTGACTTTTCCTTTTATGATGTGTTGATTGGGAAGTAAAAAATGTCGATGCTCACGATCGTTTGTCAACTAGTGAAAAAATAGCTTGTAAATTGTGAGCATATGCAAGCCAGAGACACACGAGGATATAAATTCAGTATGGTAAAAATTTTTAAAATGTGTTGGGAGGTGGGAAACTGACAATCATATTTTTACAGTGGCAAATGGGGTTTTGGATTTGCCAGTGGGTGCTGCAGATGCAGACTGCAAAGCGTCTTGGATTCTCTGAAAGTTTACTGTGGTTTTCAACTTAGCCCATTGGCCAATGAGCCATTTGAACTTGCATAATTTGTATTACCCTTACGGGAAGAAGAAAGATACACAGAGGTATATAAAAATGCTAACTTTTTTTTTTTTTTTTTTAAATATATCGAGGAAGCCAAAAGGCTTAAGATACAAAATAAAACTCACAGGTGGAGAGTTGAGTTATGTCAATCGATGGCCATTTTTCCTATGGTGGATTCCGAGGGATTTGCCAAAATATGTAACCTCGGTGCTGCGGATAATCTTATTTTTACTAGAGAATCAGTAGATTCGTTGCCATCACGTCTGATATAGGTGGTTTCTACAACCTATTGCAAATCCAAAAGGTTCCGGATTCTATACAAAATATTACTAGGAGTTGGGCTATTACTATGTTCATTGATATAATTGACAGGTTGGATTGAGTCAAGCGGCATTTGGACCCTTTTGAGGCTCAGTGT